TTATTACCCTTCTTTTTCAATATTTTTTTCTAGCAATTCTAGTATTCTTAACTTTCCTTAAGAACTTCAAAATAAGCTTTTTTTGGTAAATATATTTTTATTGATTTCAGAAAGGAATGAAGAGGGAGAGAGAGAATTGAACCATACCTCCTGGTTTATAGGTCGATGCTCAACCACTGAAATACGCCAGCTGGCAAGGTTGCTGTGTGTGTGTGTGTGTGTGTGTGTGTGTGTCTAAAAATCCAGTTGCAATCACTGGATTACTTTAAATTTCTAGAATACTGTAGGGAGAATACATAATTCTATCAATTGCTTTTTTGCACTTGCTCAGGTCAAAACCTTGGAGTCATTTCTGATGCATGTCTATTTCTCCCACACCCTTTGATTCATCAGCCAGGGTGTGGGCTGGTTTAAGCTAAACACTGTTGCGAGCAACTACCTTTGTGGGGTAGGAGTCAGTAGGAAGAGTGTGGCAGAGAAAGTGATCTTTTTACGGTAAAAGCCGTGTAGAACTATTTGGCTTCTAAGACTACATATACGTGCGACTTTGATAAAAATAACGAATTAAGGAATTTAAAAACATTGACATACAAAAGAAAAATATAGAAATGAAGGGAAATTTAACACAAGGCATTTGTCAGCATGTCGTGGGAGTTACAATTTTCTTTAGCAGATGGCTGGCCACTGGTGTAACCAAACCCCCTGATTTCTGTTATCACCAACGTTCTATATGACCAGCACCCATCAATGTAAAACTACTTCTGAGCAGCCCCTGGAAGGTAAGGAACGTTCTAGTGTAGTCCGTTTTGGTCAAGTGAAATGGCAAACTGGCAAATTCTAGACGGAGTGATCTTTCGAGAAACAGAACAGAGGAGGAAACGGTTTCAACTTTCGTGTGTGAAAAAAGTAATAGGATTGGGTAGAATTTGAAAATAGTGATTTTTAAGATTACAACAGTCAAAAGAATGTAGACATTAATAAAGTGTTTGCTTCCAAAGAAACTTCAGTGGTTTTATTTTCCCAGGATACAAGGGTCCAAACCCGCGCATGTCCCTTCACAGCTAAGGTGACAGTCATTCAGAATAATGCCCCCCCCCCCCCCCCCCCGCCGGCCCCGGAAAGCCAGGGCTGTTTCACTTCGCAGCAGGAGCAGGAGTGAAGTCTCAGTCCACACAGCGAGGCTTACCCGCTGGAAGTCCACAGTGAGGAAACCTTTCTCCTTGTCTCTTCCTGTACTCCAAATTAAACCATTAAACAGTCCTACTATCACACCATCAGCGCTTTCCTCCCTAAGTTTCCTCCTTTTGTAAGTTGCGCTCTCTTTTGTTGATGGAAGAAATTGGGCAGAGATGGGTTGTTCCTTAAAATATCGAGTGTCCCAACAGGCCAAATATTTGTGGGAGCCACAGAAAGGGGCATATGACAGGTTCAGAAGGCCTCACAGAACACGCAAGATCACCTACAACTTCCCAGACACCAGCAGCAAAATAGGGAGAAATGGGCAGCGGAAATATTTCCTGTTTGGTCACCACCATCTGACGATTATGACAATTTAATTTGGGAGCTGGATTTATATAGAAAACCCAGGAAGAAAACAAGTATTCCTCTAGAAATGGTGGGATAATTGAACTAATTTTATAATTCTTGGTCCCTATCCGTAAGAAATTAGCTATTAAAATTATTTATTCAGGCATTAGCTCTTAGATGTTCTCAGTTCTTCAATAAGCAAAAACTGTCAGGCAAGGATTTTCATCATTATAAGTCGTTGAAGGATCCTACTCAAAATCAGATGCTTTGCTCCTCTCCCATTACACTATGCCATGTAGCTTTACTGAATTGGTCTTTGGAAAAAATGCAAAATCAATGATTAATGTTCCTGACATGTTGAACAGCACGTGTTGCATTTCCAGCCCACAACCCGGGTGTATACTGACAGGGAATCGAAATGTGACCTCCTGGTTCATAGGCTGACATGGAGCCATGCTGGCTGGGCCTGACACACACACTTTAGATCATACATATATCACTTCGTTGTTGTTCTATCACTTAATGAAAACACACGAGGTCCGGGTGGGGCACACCTGTAGTCGGAGCAGAGCTCTGTGAAGGCACGACCCACCCAGCTAATCTAAAATGGGGGGCTGGTGAGAAAGGATGCGGAAGGACGGACATGCTAATGCTATGATCAAAATAAGAGCGAGTCCAAAACCCGATTCCATTCCACAGGGCATTTATACACTTGGCAAGCAATGCTTCATCTGCAGCTTGAATGTCATTCTTTTTCATTTTGATAAGTTCTATTTGGTTCTTTTCCAAATCTACTTGATAACTTTAATAGCTTGTTGTTCCTTACTCAATCTCTTCTGAATAATTGAGTATCTACTCTTGAGGCTCTTACTCCCCCGCCTGTTCCTCCTCAGCAGCTCTCACAGTGCCTGTGTTGGTGCGCTGCGGGCTGTGACTGTGAGAACACAGTCCTGGGCTCTATGGGCGGGCTTCTTCGGAAGGTGGGTTCTTCCAGAGAGAATTTGCGGTCGTTTCTATGGTGTCCAGGGCGCTAACCACTTGGTGCCACTTCAAACGGAAATCCCAGCTTGAGGTTTTTGTTTGTTTTCTCAGATGGTCTATATGGGGAGGAATCTGGGCTGAAATTCGTGAGAGGCACCCTGTTATAAGTGGTCAGGAGAGTACATGCATGCATATTTACATTTTACCCCTCCATCAACAAAATTCAAGATGAAAGCTTCCGAGGAGAGAACCAAGATGGCGGCATAGGTTCACGCCGGAGTTTGCTGCCTTGAACAACTACTTCAAAAGTGAAACTAAAAGACGGAACGGACATCACCCAGAACCACAGGAACGCTGGCTGAGTGGAAGTCCTACAACTAGGAGGAAAGAGAAATGCATACGGACACTCAGAGGAGGCGCAGTGCTGAAGTCAAATTCTGAGGTGCGGAGTGCGCGGAGCGGGCTGGCGGCGGAGGGCGCGGTTGGCATTTTCAATCGGGAGGGAGTCGCAGACTCTGAGCTCCAGATACGGGCGAGTCTTTAGGGACCCAGACTCAAACGGGAGAAGCAGGACTGTCTGGCTTCGGTCAGAGCGAGTGCAGCTTTCTCTCTGAGGTTTGCAGCAGTTGCTGGGACTCAGAGAGGCAGAGCCCCTGGGGAAAGGACTGAGAGCTGCCATAACTGCTCTCTCCGGCCCACCCTGTTGATCCTGTGCTACCCGCCCCGCCCAAGCCCTGCACAGAGGCATTTGCCGGATAGCCTCAGGCAAAGGCTAGATTAGCACCTCCCTAGAGGACAGAAGTTCTCTCACTGCAGACACAGCTGATTCTCACAGCCACTTGGCCTGGAGGTCAAACCCTCCCTGGTATTAGCTACAACAATCAAGGTTTAACTATAAGACTGCGCACAAAGACCACTAGGGGGTGCACCAAGGAAGCATAACAAAATGCGGAGACAAAGAAACAGGACAAAATTGTCAATGGAAGATATAGAGTTCAGAACCACACTTTTAAGGTCTCTCAAGAACTGTTTAGAAGCCGCCGATAAACTTAATGAGATCTACAAGAAAACTAATGAGACCCTCGATGTTATATTGGGGAACCAACTAGAAATTAAGCATACACGGACTGAAATAACGAATATTATACAGACTCCCGACAGCAGACCAGAGGAGCGCAAGAATCAAGTCAATGATTTGAAATGCGAGGAAGCAAAAAACACCCAACCGGAAAAGCAAAATGAAAAAAGAATCCAAAAATGCGAGGATAGTGTAAGGAGTCTCTGGGACAGCTTCAAGCGTACCAACATTAGAATTATAGGGGTGCCAGAAGATGAGAGAGAGCAAGATATTGAAAACCTATTTGAAGAAATAATGACAGAAAACTTCCCCTACCTGGTCAAAGAAATGGACTTACAGGTCCAAGAAGTGCGGAGAACCCCAAACAAAAGGAATCCAAAGAGGACCACACCAAGACACATCATAATTAAAATGCCAAGAGCAAAAGACAAAGAGAGAATCTTAAAAGCAGCAAGAGAAAGAAACTCAGTTACCTACAAGGGAATACCCATACGACTGTCAGCTGATTTCTCAACAGAAACTTTGCAGGCCAGAAGGGAGTGGCAAGAAATATTCAAAGTGATGAATACCAAGAACCTACAACCAAGATTACTTTATCCAGCAAAGCTATCATTCAGAATTGAAGGTCAGATAAAGAGCTTCACGGATAAGAAAAAGCTAAAGGAGTTCATCACCACCAAACCAGGATTATATGAAATGCTGAAAGGTATCCTTTAAGAAGAGGAAAAGGAAGAAAAAGGTAAAGATACAAATTATGAACAACAAATATGCATCTATCAACAAGTGAATCTAAGAATCAAGTGAATAAATAATCTGATGAACAGAATGAACTGGTGATTATAATAGAATCAGGGACATAGAAAGGGAATGGACTGACTATTCTTGGGGGGGAAAGGGGTGTGGGAGATGCGGGAAGAGACTGGACAAAAATCGTGCACCTATGGATGAGGACAGTGGGTGGGGAGTGAGGGCGGAGGGTGGGGCGGGAACTGGGAGGAGGGGAGTTATGGAGGGAAAAAAGAGGAACAAATGTAATAATCTGAACAATAAAGATTTAATTAAAAAAAAAAAGATGGAATCTTCCCTCGGGGGGACAGTGCTCAGCCTCAAGCAGGGAGGGGTGGTGTATGTGTGATCCCTCACCCCCGACTAGCCCTGGACTTCACCTCCTGCCTCTGGGCCCCTGAAGCTTGAAAATAAAAAGCTGTCCTTAACCTCAAGGGCCCAGCTTTCACATAATGTTTCAGACTGGGTACTCCTTACCTTCCCATCAGCTCATTTAAAAAACATTTTTTTAATCCAATAGCTTGAACAGTTTCTAGTAGGAGGGTACACTTTGCACTCTAAGACTATGCACGTTTATAAAATAAACAATTCTCCCTCAAGTCATTTGAAATAAAACGTAGAAACACCATTGTGCGTAGTCCAGATTTTATTGCTTATTAATTATGCCATTCCATACAACTTTAAGTAAACAGTTTGAGAAAATATACTGGGAGTGTTGAACAGTGATGGCACTATTGATGAGAGAATGTTCAAGAGTCACATAAGGAGGTAAGAGGCACCACTGCCACCATTGCCTCCCGGAATCTGTACATGTCATATAAAAAGAGTAAAAATAGTTCATTGGCATTTTACTAGCGTTATTCTTTGTAATCTATGAACCGTGATAAGCTTGAACAGTTCAGACTCTTCGGAGCAAAACAAAGGCTTTTCTTCCACTAGCAGATGTAGTAGCTTCTTTAAAAACAACAGACAAATCAACACAATAAAAAAGTACGAACACAACCCCAAAACAAAGTCGGCATATTTCAATAGCCCTGAATGTTAATGTTTCTATCATATTACCTCTATATAAAAGCCCAATATGCAAATTGTCCCCTTGGGAGTTCGACTGCTCGCTATGATGTGGCTGACCACCAGGGGTCGGCACGGGCGGCAGTGGAGGTGCTGACAACCCCGATGGGCCTCAACGAGAGCGGGACCAGGGCGGGATGGTGGAGCAGGTGAGTGGGCGGTGCCAGGCCAAGGCGGGTGTGAGCGGGGGCCCAACTGCCCTGCCAATTGCTCCGCAGATGGCAACCAGCAGCAGCAGTGGCAGGGGCTTGACCCTGACCAATCGCCCCGCAGATGGCGACCAGTGGCGGTGATGGGGGGCAGGGCTGCTGCCTGGCTCCCAGGTGCTAATGGAGCCGGGCAGGGTGCCAGGTAGGGCTGGGGGGCTGCGAGGCTGGGGGCGCGATCTGGGGCCCGATCCCTGCAGGCCCTCCTGAGGGACCCCACCTGTGCACAAATTGTGCACTGGGCCTCTAGTTTCAAGAAATAAAATGCTACTCAGCTTTTAAAAATGAGGTTAAATTTCTTCACCATAATTATAATTACTTCATAACTTAACTGAAGCCAGTGTTAGCTCAGTAAAAACCATGAACACAACCCAGACTGCTCTTACGCTAAGGAAACTTTTGAAAACCATAATTGTTCTTCAACAACGCAGACCCACACCGCACAGTGCAGCTGAGGAACCAGCAACGTCTCTTTGGGACCCTGCAGCAGCAGCCCTAAGTATTTTTAAAGCTGGGAGCAGAAACAGAATCACTGTAAAACGCGCAAAGGCATCAGTAACCCCCTGGAAAAACTGCACTAACGGTTTCCTCTTTTAATGATTGAAAAAACAATCAAGCATGTACTACAGTTCAGCATTTGAAATACTTCTATTATGACGACGATGCTCGGGGTGAGAAATGCATTTGAATACCTGGAACAAAACATGGAACGTGGTTGTATGCTAAGTCATTTACAAGACCTCAGTTACCAAACAACAAAAGATATACGATAGCAGATAAACAGGAATTTATTAAGACGACTGGCTCCAACAATACAAAAATTAAAGATTAAGGCATCTTGTACTCCTGTTTTGGTAGTGCAGTGAAGAGAAACGTTTAAATTGGAACCAGCACTTCTGTTCAGATGCTGTCTGATGTATGAGACAGATCCGTTTTTATATTCTCCTCTTCCACACACCATGGAAAGCTCTCATGATCAAACATCATGATCCAAACTGAGAGAAAAGCATAAACCAATATTCACTTATTACAGGGAAGCAGTTCACCCTGGGGTGGGGGTGGGAGGCGGTACAAAGAATATTATGTGTAAAGCTAAATCCAGGATTTAAGTTTCTCTGAAGCAAGTCATGCCTCAGTAATGGGGAGAGAGAAGAGATGAACACTTGACTAAGAGGAGAAGCTTATGAATCTGGATCATGCTTCAGAATAATTGTTCACTCAGTGCTCTATTCCCTGGGACAGGAGTTTTGGAAAAGTCTTAAAAAAAAAAAGTAATCACATCCATTAGAATAAGATCATATAAGTTAACACTGATTACTTATTATTCCTCTTATTCCACTGACAAAGCTCAAAAGGCTTCCAAAGTATATTAAACAGTAACATTTCACCTTTTATTAAGGCAAGTTTGTGAAAATAATTTAATAAAACCAAATCTCTTCATGAACTTTCAGCTGAAAACATTTTTATGTAAGAAACATACAAAAAAATTGTTTTATAAAAAGCCACCTCAATGCCAGAAAAGAGTGACGAGTTTGAACCCAGTTTACTTTTTAAGGATGTTCTTCCCTTGTTTCCAATTCCAAGTGCTATTCATCATCTTTAGTGCCACTTTTGCTTAACTATGAAAAAAGATAAAAGAAATATTCAACAAGTTTAAGCTATCATATTGAGTTATTTCCACTTCATATCAAAGGTAAGCATTTACAGCTCCTGGAACCAGAGACAGCAAGGTTTGGGAACTTAAACCACCTCCAGCTTCCACCCCCTATTTTTGTATTACATACTAGAAGCACAAAGATTATTTTAAACAGTTTTTATGGAAAAGGCATCCCATGGCCCAAACAGCTGACTTTAAAATAAACTGTAAGAATATGCCCATTAGGTCCTCACTAAAACACTATCTTTAACTCTCCTTGGATCATATTAGTTAAGTCTGACAAGATTGGCACTGTGTTAGGTATCAGTTTAATACATTTGAAGCTACAAATTCGTGCAAGAAAAATACTGAGAGTAGTTGGCAGAAAAATTCAAAATGGAAGTAAACAATTTAAAACAACAAAAACAGAAAATCTTTCTTGATAATGATAGGAAACTACAACTACGGTCTGACCTAAGTAAAATGCCTAATTTCTCCTAAGAAATCAAAGCATATCTTCCTGTGACGTGTTTCTTCAGTTTCCATATCGTCATTAATTAGAGTCATAGCTTAGCAAGCCCATTGTATGGTGTACGTACACAGACATCACACCTCACTGCAGTTACAAATACTTACATGCTGAGTGTAGGAGAGGAAACAGACGTCCCAGGGAAACCCAGAGGCGGGGGGAGAAAACGGGAGAGAAAGCGTCAGTACTGATGGCAATGCCAAAGGGCGTGAGGCGGGAAGTAAGGATTGTGTACCTTCACCACGTCCACCCAGTTCCAGCCTCGAGGGAGCTCCCCTTTGTGATCTAGAGGAGAAAAAACAGGAACTTTGTTTCTAAGACCAATCAGTGATTTTTAAGTGAATATTCGAATACACAGGATGTAGACCCCATTCTGCACAGCAGGTGAAGTTTAAGTATCGTTACTGTGCCTGGAAGCAGTTTCCTAGGCTCACAGCCAAGAGCTTCAGGTGTGTCCTCTGCCAGTCCCCTAATTTCACTCTAGACAAAACCTGGTCTCGGGGAAAAGTACGGAGGTGAGCGGGTAATGCCAGGGAGAGAAACCCATCCACTTGTCAGCTCCAAGGACTTGCTCAGAGAACCTGCTGCTTTCACAGGGCACAGCGTAGCTCCGCGAGAAGCTGTGTCGCTACTGTTCCATGTGCCAGTGCTTCACTCCAGGAAGCTGTGCTCAAGGCAAGAGGCCTCACGGACAAACGTTTGGCTCAAGATTAAGAGGAGGCCTGGCCAACTTACCAACTCCTGTGTCCTGATAAAATGGTCACCACTTAATCTGACATTTTTAAACAGGGCTTTAATCTGTTGGGAGTGCTTAAAGCAGGCTGGACTTTTATATAAGAATTTACAATATATAAAGTAAAAGAATTTCATTCCTTTAATAAAATATTCAAATTTAAAGAATTCTATCTAATAAAGAGGGAATATGCTAATTGACCCTCACACTGTCACAAAGATGGCGGCACCCACAGCCAATAAGGAGGGAATATGCCAATTACTGCCCTGCCCTCAAAGATGGCAGCACCCACAGCCACAAGATGGCGGTGCCCAGTCCCCTCAGCCCCGCCAGGGCGGCAGGCGCCCCCAGGCAGGCCCGACCTTGCCGCCCTCCTGCCTCTGGAGTCCCCCAGTCCCCTCACCCCCCTGCTTCCCAGGGCCGCCCAAGGCTCAGGTAACCAGGGCCAGCGAGGCTTGCGCTGCCGGCCGTGGCAGCAGAGGTGTGATGGGGCATTGCCTTCCCCTGATCGCCAGGTCGCCTCCCACCCCTGAGGGCTCCTGGACTGTGAGAGGGGACAGGTCGGGCTGAGGGACCCCCCTCCAGTGCATGAATTTTCATGCACCGGGACTCTAGTGGTTTAATAAATAGATACACTTAAACATTTTTCAATTTAAAATGGCTTGATTTCCTTTATGCTTGATATATTTGTATGTCTCATTTTAGAAAATGTACAAAAATCTGTATTTGAAACAAGCACATTAATTTTATAGCAAGGGAAACAGAAAGCAAGCCTTTGATTATTACAGGAGAGAAGCAATATTACTGGAGCTCAATTTTAGATGCTAATGGTTCTTTTCTCCTTCATGCCAAGAAGAGTCTTATCCCCCCTGATTCCTGGTTAGGAGGGAATGGAGGCAGCTCACCAGGCTTGGGAACCAAAACTCACTCACAGTGCCAGCCATGGCTGTCCCATTACAGCTCTATTTAGAATGTGAGCTCCAAGCCACAAGCCCCTGTGCTGTAATCACAGGGAGATAACGGCTTTTAGGCGGGCACCATCAAGGAGGTGGAGGTAGGGGTACAGTAAGAAAAGGGAGTGACTGAGGTCATCATGTATGAAAGCAACAGGTAATGAACTGACTGACACAGATGCTAAACATTCCAAAAAGTGATGAACCCACGTTCTAGAAACCAGGCTGTTACAGCTAACAACTTACTGCTTTAGTGGTTAATGCTGTATTTATGCTGCTTTGACTTTGGTATACATAATGGATTCCCAGACTTTATTTTACAAACCATTACAATTTCAAAAATGTATTTTGAGGGTTAATACAGATTGCTATCTTTTTATTCTGCCACAGACATTAAACAAAACATAGATAACCAGAAAACTACCAGCACTGTATTTTAAAAAGGACACTATTTTAAACTTTATCACCAAAGTAAAAGGGTCAGTTCTCAATAAAGAGCAGCTGTAACCTCGCACCAGTAACACACACATAAAGACGTAAATATATGCGCACACGTGTACATGTATATAAATGTCTACAAGCACACACAGTAATATCACTCTATTTAACTAGGAAAAGATTTACAGGTTGATATAATTTGCCAATTTTCAGGTTAAAGAAAAGGGTAAAACATTATTGCTGATATAAGCTGGGGTTTACAATACCCTTCTAAAGGTCCACCTGAAATGACTTTGGTTTAAGACACACAGAATTCCACCTTTTTGCTGCTGTTGCTAATCACCACCCAAGGATATTTTTCCATTGATTTTTTAGAGAGAGTGGGAGGGGAAGCGACAGAGAGAGAGAAACATCCATGTGAGAGAGACACATCAGTTGGCTGCCTCCTGCACGCGCCCCAACCGGGGCTGGGTATCAAGCCTGCAACTGAGGTATGTGCCCTTGATTGGATTTGAACCCGAAGCTCTATCCACTGAGCCAAACCAGGCAGGACAGGAATTCCATTCTTAAATTTCATTGCTGTTGTATAAGTAAGTCAACTATAGACAAAAACATTAAAGTATTTATTGTGCTAAGATCAAATGGTGTACCAGACTTCATTTCATATGAAAGCTGTATTTCAAGAAGTTTTCAATAATACATATATCTGACATAGAGGTAAACAAACAGGAAAATCCCACACATGACAGAGAGGGTACAAGTAGGACACACACTTGTATGCTATTCTTTTTTTTTTTAACATATATTTTTATTGATTTCAGAGAGGAAGGGAGGAGGAGAGAGAGATAAAAACATCAATGATGACAGAGAATCATTGATTGGCTGCCTCCTGCATGCCCCCTATTGGGGATTGAGCCTGCAACCTGGGCAAGTGCCCCTGACCGGAATTGAACCTGGGACCTTTCAGTCCGCAGGCTGATGCTCTATCCACTGAGCCAAACAGCTAGGGCCCGTATGCTGTTCTAATGCTCTGAAAGTCAGGACTGATTTATAGTTACTTTGCCGCTCATCTACCTTCTTCTCACTTGGCTCTCTCTTGTGGGGAAGGAGAAAGTATTTTCAATACACATTTGTGCCCTGACAGTCTCTGATCCAACTGTCCCCAGAATAAAGAGTGGAGACTAATCCTCTAAATGGAAACATAGTTATTAAGCACCTACAGCGCAATAAAAAGCAACACATTCCTTTATGTCATAAAAAGAAAAAACAAACACAAACCTGTTTTATCTGCCAGCTTGCGTTTCTGGGCTTTTGTAAGCTGTTCCTTCTTGTCTTTTTTCTTACTGGATGGGGCTACATTAGGAGTGTCAACTGAGAGGATATTGCTTATGGATGTCTAGGGGAAAAAAAGAATTCTTAGACCCATGTCTTAAGCTTATTGAATTACACAAAATATGGCTACATCCTGAAACAGGTTAATCATTTTTAGACTTGTGAAGTAAAAGAAACCTCCACTGTTAGATTTGTTTATTAGTACAGGTGAACTTAGTGTACTGGATTCACTAGAATGCACACTGATGGGCACAATACTAGTGCAACTGTTGCAACCAGGACCCTCAGCAAGAAGATCTGACACCAGCATTATGCAGAAGCTCTGAAGTTCCATGTTAATTTTACAATTTAGTTAATTTGCTATTATTTGGAAATTTAAATAAGTCTTTAGAAAAATACTTAAGAATACCCTACTTCCCTGAAATGAAGGAAATATTTAAAATACAGCTGGGCAAACTGCTTCTCCAGCTGTCTTTCAGTGTTCTGTGCTCTGCTGGGCACGTGGAACCCAGAACCGCTCAAGTACAGGACGTGGCCTTTGCTGTCAGTGTACAGCTTGGTTCACGGACAAAACTCAGCACTGACCACAGACATTTTTTAGTGCAGGATGTGGTGTAAAGGGGCTAATACACAGATGCTCATGGTCATCAAAGATGCTTCTTCCCTAAAATAATTCTAGAAAAAAATGTATACTTTTTCCATATAATAAAGTCTCCTTAAACTGCTATACCTTCAAACTGACCAGTGGCAAGACCACTTACAATGAAATAATCCTCATAAAAAATGTCATACATATTTTAGCTCTATGTAAGAAACCCCCTTTCTGAGTTTTATGAGGAAATAAACTTGAAAATATGGATTCTACAATATCAGTTTTGGTGGGTACATGAAGTATTCTAGTCTTATAGGAAGGGTAAAATCAGGAGAGTAAAATTTTTAAAGTTACATGGAAGCTAAGAAATCTAAAATTCATTGCTCTTATTTAACTCAGATATAATTCACTTTAAACCAACAATCTCTTTCCAATTAAAAAACTAGTTCAAATTAACTAACAGTGAAATCGAAACAATAAGAAAATGTGGCAAAAACAAATGGCACACTCACCGCAGAGTTCACAGGATGGTGATTCTCCATGAACTGCTCCTTGTTGTCCTTGGCGTACTCGAACAGCGTGTAGGTCATGGCAGTGCCGAGGTTGGCTTCCACCGCTTCCTGTAACTTGGCTAATATGCTCTCCTTCACGGCTGAGGATCTGGAATGCACAAGAAATATATTGCTAGCAGAAAAGCAAGAGTGTAAAAAAACCCCAATGAAAATAAAACCCTACTCACATGGTGTTGTTGAAGAAAGCGTTCATGGATATGATTGGAGGGGTCTGGGGATATGTTTCTGTCCAGGAAACCTCTATGAGGAAGGCTTTGGGATCACCATTTTCACCTATCTGAAGAAAAGGGAACTCTCAGGCTTGTAAAAAATGATGCAAAGACAGAATATTTAATTATGATCTTTAGAATGAATCCCTTCCAATGCTCATGGTCAGGTCAGTGGTTAGAGCATCAGCCTGCACACCAAAGGTCATGGGTTCGATTCCTGATCAAGGGCATGTACCTGGGTTGCAGGTTCGACATCCTCCCCCGCGTGTCCCCCGCCTAACTAGGGAGCATGCGGGAGGCAACCAATTGATGCCTCTCTCTCTCTCTCTCTCACCCCCTCCCTTCCACTTTCTCTAAAAATCAATGAAAAAAATATCCTCAGGAGAGGCTTTAACTAACTAACTAACTAACTAAATAATTGATGTCATGGTGATGTGTCTTCATTTAAATGCTTTAGAAAATCCAAAAACATGATAAATCCAAACCACTAAATTTAAAAACAAAATCAGCATTTATAGCAACCTTTAGTCTTCTTTAGTAAAGTAGTAAATGCTCCTACTCATGTCATGTCTTACCCTATATTGAAATGAAACTGGACTTAATTCCCGGAAACTTTCATCTCCTTCATATATAGAACGTAATGCTTCCAGTTCCATCTGAAAGAAATGAATCAAGTGCATTTTGTTTAGTGGTACAAATGGATTAGAAATAGAGGGCCTGATTCAAGCCCACTTCACTATGTAAAAGTTGACTAACGTATTTGGCCTTAGATGTTTATAATATACACTAGAGGCCCGGTGCACAAAAATTTGTGCACTCGGGGGGGGGAAGAGAGGGGGTCCCTCAGCCTGGCCTGTGCCCTCTCGCAGTCTGGGACCCCTTGGGAGATAACGACCTGCTGGCTTAGGCCTGCTCCCGGGTGGCAGAGGGCAGGCCCAATCCCTAGGTGCAGCCCCTGGTTGGGCTCAGAGCAGGGCCGATTGGGGAGTTGGGGCGCCGCCCCCTGTCATGCACAGAGCAGGGCGGATTGGGAGGTTGCGATGCCACCCTCAGTCACGCTCAGGGTAGGGCCGATTGGGGGGTTGGGGCACCGCCCCGTCACACTGAAGGTAGGGTCGATGGGGAGGTTGCAGCGCCACCCCGTCACGCACAGAGCAGGGCCCATCAGGGGGTTGGGGCGCTGCCCTCTATCACCCACAGAGCAGGGCCGATCAGGGGGTTGGGGTGCCGCCACTCTCACACTCAGGGCAGGGCAGATGGGGAGGTTATGGCTCTACCCCATCACACACAGAGCAGGGCCTGTGTGGGGGGTTGGGGCGCCTTCCCCTGTCAGGAACAGAGCAGGGCGGATAGGGAGGTTGTGGCCCCGCCCCCTGTCACACACAGAGCCGCAGGGCGATCAGGGGGTTTAGGCGCTGCCCCCTGTCACGTTGATACCGGTGCCAGGAGGCATATTACCCTTTTACTATATAGGATAGAGGCCTGGTGCATGGGTGGGGGCTGGCTGGTTTGCCCTGAAGGGTGTCCTGGATCAGGGAGGGGGTCCCCACTGGGGTGCCTGGCCAGCCTGGATGAGGGCATGATGGCTATTTGCAACTGGTCACACACCCTTCAGGGTGGGGGTCCCCACTGGGGTGCCTGGCCAGCCTGGGTGAGGGGATGATGGCTGTTTGCAGCTGGTCACACACCCTTCAGGGTGGGGGTCCCCACTGGGGTGCCTGGCCAGTCTGGGTGAGGGGCTGAGGGCTGTTTTCAGGCTGGCGGGTGACTGAAGCTCCCAACTGCTTCTTTTTTTCTTTTTTCTTTTTTATTCTGGGCCAGCTTTAGCTCTGGCTCCAGCTCTGAGGCCTCTGCTGCTGAAAGCAGGTATCTGGTTTGTTTGGGTTCTATAATCAAAACAATTTATAACTTCAGCTCTGAGATCCCGGCCGGCTGAAAGCAGGTTTCTGGGGTTTTGTTTAGCTTCTATATTTGTTACAACGTTTCAAACTGCAAGCTCAGAGGCCGGCAAGGCAGGTGGGGAACGTTGGAGTCCTCCGTCACTGAACCAAGCAAGCCTCATGTTCGCTTCCAGCTGCCTGGCTGCCGGCCGCCATCTTGGCTAGCAGTTAATTTGCATATCGCCCTGATTAGCCAATCGGAAGGGTAGCGGTTGTATGCTAATTACCATGTTTCTCTTTTATTAGATAGGACTAGGGGCCCGGTGCACGAAATATGTGCATGGGGGTGGGGGTGGGGGTTAGGGGTGGGTCCCTCAGCCTGACCTGCACCCTCTCCAATCTGGGAGCCCTCAGGGGATGTCCTACTGATGGCTTAGGCCTGCTCCCCATGGTTCTCTGCTCTCTGTGGACCTGCCTGCTTGATGCCACCGCAGGCCCTGGTGTCTGCTCTCTGTGGGGACCTTGCGGGGGACTGCTTGCCCCTCACTGCCACGGCCAGGGGCAAGCAGGGCCCTGCTGTCTGCCTGCTCGCTGCGGGGGACGTTCCCGCCCTGCCCCTGGCCGCTGCCAGCTCAGAGTGCCTGTGTCCTGGGGATGTTCCCACCCCACCCCCGGCCACTCGGTGCCTACACATGCAAATTAACCCACCATCTTTGTTGGTTAATTTGCATACTCACTCCTGATTGGCTGGTGGGTGTTGCAAAGTGATGGTCAATTTGCATCTTTCTCTTTTATTAGTGTAGATGGACATACCAACACAACACAATAATACTGATACTAATCCTTCAAAATTATGTGCCAGGCACTGCGAAGCATTTGACAGTGTGTTACCTCACTTAAGTCTCACATCAGTCCTGTGAAGAAAATCTCACTATTTTCCCCTTCCAAACGGGGTGGGGGATAAGATTAGGTTTAAAGCAATCCCAGAGCACGTGCCTTCATCACTCTGCCAAAGAGTAGCTTGGACAGAAAGAGTGTGAAAAAGCATTACTTACACATTTTCTACTTGTGACCCTCCCCACAGAATGATACACAACTTGTAAAAACACTGAAGGACAGTAAGAAGAACAGTAAAACATTTAAGGACAGAAAAAGGTTGGCGAAGACCTACCTAAGATGGGAAAAAGGGTAGTAAGAGTAATCCCTGCCTGGAAATATGTCTTAGGACCGTGTGGCTTAGAGGAGAAGACTCGCTGCTGTTATGATTACTGGTGAACACTTGAGAAGCAAGGAGAGACTGCACTTGATACATATTTTAGTTTAAAAAACACGCAAGTCGGAGAACCAAAATGGCGGCATAGGTTAACGCCGGAGTTTGCTGCCTTGAACAACTACTTCAAAAGTGAAACTAAAAGACGGAACGGACATCACCCAGAACCACAGGAACGCTGGCTGAGTGGAAGTCCTACAACTAGGAGGAAAGAGAAACGCATACGGACACTCAGAGGAGGCGCAGTGCTGAAGTCAAATTCTGAGGTGCGGAGTGCGCGGAGCGGGCTGGCGGCGGAGGGCGCGGTTGGCATTTTCAATCGGGAGGGAGTCGCAGACTCTGAGCTCCAGATACAGGTGAGTCTTTAGGGACCCAGACTCAAACGGGAGAAGCGGGACTGTCTGGCTTCGGTCAGAGCGAGTGCAGCTTTCTCTCCGAGGTTTGCAGCAGTTGCTGGGACTCAGAGAGGCAGAGCCCCTGGGGACAGGACTGAGAGCCGCCATAACTGCTCTCTCCGGCCCACCCTGTTGATCCTGTGCTACCCGCCCCACCCAAGCCCTGCACAGAGGCATTTGCCGGATAGCCTCAGGCAAAGGCTAGATTAGCACCTCCCTAGAGGACAGAAGTTCTCTCACTGCAGACACAGCTGATTCTCACAGCCACTTGGCCTGGAGGTCAAACCCTCCCTGGTATTAGCTACAACAATCAAGGTTTAACTATAAGACTGCGCACAAAGACCACTAGGGGGTGCACCAAGGAAGCATAACAAAATGCGGAGACAAAGAAACAGGACAAAATTGTCAATGGAAGATATAGAGTTCAGAACCACACTTTTAAGGTCTCTCAAGAACTGTTTAGAAGTCGCCGATAAACTTAATGAGATCTACAAGAAAACTAATGAGACCCTCGATGTTATATTGGGGAACCAACTAGAAATTAAGCATACACGGACTGAAATAACGAATATTATACAGACTCCCGACAGCAGACCAGAGGAGCGCAAGAATCAAGTCAATGATTTGAAATGCGAGGAAGCAAAAAACACCCAACTGGAAAAGCAAAATGAAAAAAGAATCCAAAAATGCGAGGATAGTGTAAGGAGTCTCTGGGACAGCTTCAAGCGTACCAACATTAGAATTATAGGGGTGCCAGAAGATGAGAGAGAGCAAGATATTGAAAACCTATTTGAAGAAATAATGACAGAAAACTTCCCCCAACTGGTGAAAGAAATGGACTTACAGGTCCAAGAAGCGCGGAGAACCCCAAACAAAAGGAATCCAAAGAGGACCACACCAAGACACATCATAATTAAAATGCCAAGAGCAGCCCTAGCCGGTTTGGCTCAGTGGATAGAGCGTCGGCCTGCGGATTCAAAGGTCCCAGGTTCGATTCCCGTCAAGGGCATGTACCTTGGTTGCGGGCACATCCCCAGTGGGGGGTGTGCAGGAGGCGGCTGATCGATGTTTCTAACTCTCTATCTCTCCCTTCCTCTCTGTAAAAAATCAATAAAATATATTTAAAAAATAAAATAAAATAAAATAAAATGCCAAGAGCAAAAGACAAAGAGAGAATCTTAAAAACAGCAAGAGAAAGAAACTCAGTTACCTATAAGGGAATACCCATATGACTGTCAGCTGATTTCTCAACAGAAACTTTGCAGGCCAGAAGGGAGTGGCAAGAAATATTCAAAGTGATGAATACCAAGAACCTACAACCAAGATTACTTTATCCAGCAAAGCTATCATTCAGAATTGAACGTCAGATAAAGAGCTTCACAGATAAGGAAAAGCTAAAGGAGTTCATCACCACCAAACCAGGATTATATGAAATGCTGAAAGGTATCCTTTAAGAAGAGGAAGAGGAAGAAAAAGGTAAAGATACAAATTATGAACAACAAATATGCATCTATCAACAAGTGAATCTAAGAATCAAGTGAATAAATAATCTGATGAACAGAATGAACTGGTGATTATAATAGAATCAGGGACATAGAAAGGGAATGGACTGACCATTCTTGGGGGGGAAAGGGGTGTGGGAGATGCGGGAAGAGACTGGACAAAAATCGTGCACCTATGGATGAGGACAGTGGGTGGGGAGTGAGGGCGGAGGGTGGGGCGGGAACTGGGAGGAGGGGAGTTATGGGGGGGAAAAAAGAGGAACAAATGTAATAATATGAACAATAAAGATTTAATTTAAAAAAAAAGACAGAAAAAAAACAAAAAACACGCAAGTCATGAATTCTACAAACTAAAGATGGGCGGATCTGATCTATGTGGACAACATTTTAGAACAGGTTATTAAAGAAAGTGGTTTTTTTTTATTATTGATTTCAGAGAGGAAGGGAAAGAACTAGAGAGATAGAAACATCAATGATGAGAATCATCGATCGGCTGCCTCCTGCACACCCCTACGGGGGGTTGGCAGGGGGGATCGAGACTGCAACCCGGGCATGTGCCCCTGGCCAGAATCAAACCTGGGACTCTTCAGTCCACAGGCCGATGCTCTATCCACTGAGCCAAACCGGCCAGGGCTAAAGAAAGTGTTTGAGAGTAAGAAGTCATTCCTAAGACCTAGCAAGCACATGAAAAACAACGTCTATGTCAACAGTCCTTCCTAGAGAGGGTCACCTGATTACAGGAAGGCCCCACAATTTCTCTTGCTACTTTCACAGAAATTCAAACTAGAGTCAAGAATAACTGAGCGGCACCCTGGCCAGTGCGGCTCCGTGGGTTGGAGCGTTGTCCCGTACGCCATAAGGTGGTGGTGGGTTCGATGCCCAGGTCTCAGGTCCGTCCCCAGCCGGGGCGCAAGTGCGAGGCAGCCAACCAATGCGTCTCACATTGATGTTTCTTTCTCTCTCTCCCTCCCCACTTTTTCTCCCTAAATATCAGTAATAACAACAAAAAACCCCCCACTCAGATTAGATTGGAACAAACGTACTCAAAATATAGTGCTACTCCGTGGATCGTTCAGCCTTCCTATATTTCCACTACTGACCTGGACAGGCACGACAGCTGAGGGCAGCCTTGCCAACTTAGCGGGTGACAATTCGATGGGACAGCGAATCAGGCAGGTGGCAGGACGAAAATTCAGACAGTCCTTGCCAGACAAGCTGGCAGGGTGACACTGGGGAGGGTAAAGTCCTCCGAGGGCGAAAGGCCAACGGCACTGCATAGACTAGAGCCACGGCCGGCCAGGGTTAGCTGACCGTAAATCTAACTGCAGAGGACTGTGCCCCACCCCTGGGAAACAGGACACTGGCGTGTCATCCGCCCACGAACACACGAACCCAGGGGAATCTTAAAAAAATGGACACCGAGAAAGGCTCAAATAAACCCACCAAATGGCCCACGGGCCAGACCTGGAGCAACATCACACCCTGCGCTCCACGCTTCCCAGTGAGAACTCTCCATGCCTTGGCTTAGAGCAGCGGTGCTCAACCTGTGGGTCGAACGACCCTTTCACAGGGGTCACCTAAGACCATTGGAAAACACATATATGATTACATACTGTTTTTGTGACTGATCACTATGCTTTAATTATGTTCAATTTGTGACAATGAAATTGGGGGTCACCACAACATGAGGAACGGTATTAAAGGGTCGCGGCACCAGGAAGGTTGAGAACCGCTGGCTTAGAGGATCCCCTGGCAAGAATATCTCAGCAAGGACCCAGGCGCCCACTGGCTAGTGATCCACAGGCTCCATGGCCTCCAACAGGCACAGGCGCTAACTCTCCTCCACCAGGTTCTGAACGAACAGGGGCTCCCGGTTGTTTCGGAAACTCCGATCGGTCCTGACTGCCGCACCGGGACAGCCGCTCACGCCTCCGTAGACCTCTCTCCATCCGCCCCATCACAAAATCAGAAGGCCCCCTCCCCCGCCGCCCGATGACACGGAGCATCCCCTTCAACGGGGTGTGTGCTCAGAACCCACCACTGCCAGATGGACAATTCCAGCCAAGAACCGGCCAGACCCCGGGGACACCAGCGTCATGTTTCCCTCCATCAGGGATTGAACTCTACCACACGCCCGTGGGTGTGAGTCAGAGGCGATCGGGCTCCATCAGGAACAACTCAGCCCACAAGCGTCAACCGTGCGGACCCAGGACACGCATCCCCGCAGCCGGGGAGACAGGGCGACCCCGGGCCGACCAGACGGACACCTGCGGGGCATGGGGCGGCCAGAGGCGGCGCGCGTCCGGCCGGGCTCGCAGGGCACCGGTCAGCCGAGGGCATCAGCCGCGCTCTGTCCGCCGTGGGGGCGAGGGCACGTGCGGGGCCGTTCGTCCGGCGCGGGGAGGCAGCCACGCTCTCTCGGGCCGGGCACCGCGCCTGCGCGCGGAAAGGGGCGTGCAGGGCGGACTCACCTCCTGGTCCTCGTTGGCACCCATCGCGCCGGGCGCGGGCGCCTCCCGGGGGGGGCGGGCGGCGTTCGCGATCACGAAGGGAAACGCGAGCGGCGGCCCCGAGGCCGGGGCGTCCCTGTTCCGCGCCCTCGGCCGCGGGAGGCACGCCCTTCGCACCGCAGACCGCAGTCACGCGCACCCCGGGCCCTCGGGCCGCGCGAAGCCGCCCGCGGAAGGGCTGAGGGCGCGGAGCCCGAGGCCGTGGCAGGCGGGGCGCCGGTGCGTGTCGGGAGAGACAGCCGAGCCTTGAGGCAGAGGCCCCTCCCTCTCTTTCTTCTCGCTTCTCCTATTGGCTCCGCCTCGCTCCGCCCAGCTCCAGCACCTGTAGGAAATAGAGCGCCTTCCCTACGTCTTGTGGATCAGCGTAAAGTTCCCGGGTAGCGATTGGTGGAGAGCGCTGTCACTCAGGCCCAGAAAGCGCTTCCTGTGCATGCGCAGGTGGGCGGGGGGAAGTCCTGCTCGCTGGAACCGGCTGTGAGGCGGCGGCTGCAGGAACTGGCCTGGCGGTCTCAGGCACCCCTGCCTGCTTCCCCTCGTCCTCCCCGGCTGGAAGCGACCGGCCACAGCTGCAGTGGGCCCCGTGCACGCGGCCTGGGTGAGTCCGGGCCGGAGACCTGCGGGCCAGGCGACACCGCCGCGGGAGAGCGCTGGCTCCTAAGGCTGATGTTAGGGCCTGCGTTTTCCAGCGGTGTCAGCGGGTGCAATGCTGGCGTTTCTCGTTTAGCCCCTGGGCACCTGTTTCTAGGGCCTCGGGTTTAAGGGGGGCTGGGGAGGAAGGTAGACCTGCTTTTAGGGCTCAGCATTGCTTCTCCGCCTTTCCTGACGTACGCGATCCCGGGGCGGTCCCTTTTCTTAAGGCAGTTGTTGGGTCACATCCTCAACATCAGCTTTTTTTTTTTTCTCTCCCCATCATCCAAGCCTCAAACTGTCGTTCCTATTTTGGTCGTTTTGTAGTTGGACTTCTTTGAATCTTATCCTCATTCGCCTTGTCCTGCACCCTGAACCTCCATTAATTAAAAAATAGTGACCACATGCATTTACCTTCCACTTTGAGCAGGTCGCCTTCCTTGGCATTGCGTCATCATTCTTTCCAAGAGTCTTCCCTGTTAGCGTGCATGCCGGCTCCCACATTATTCCCTTGCACTACGTGGTCCCCGTCCAGGGTGTTCGCTTGCTACTTCGGCGCCTCCGTCCATCCGTCCACGCCCTTGGCTTCTTCTAGGCGAGGCTGTCATCGAGGTCCATAGGCCGCTGTACCTGCCCTTTGCCATCCCATTCCTTTGCTGCAGAATAAGCACGACCCATTTCAAGTGCCAATGCTGTTAGGATAGAATGTATAAGAATTTCAGATACAGTTTTCATTATTTGGGACAGAGTTGCAATAACTTAGAGCTGCGCTGCCCGGTATAGTAGCCATATGTGGCTACTGAACATTTGAAGTAGATTAGACCAGATTGAGATGTGCTTTGAGTGTACAGTACACACCAGATTTTGAATACTTGGTACAAAAAAGGAAAATATCTTGATAACAACTTTTATATTAACGTTGAAATGATAAGTATTATTTTGGATATATCGGTTAAATAGGATATCATTAAAATTAATTCCACCTATTTCTCTTTTCTTGTGTGACTGCTAGAACATGCATGTAGGCTACACAGTAGGGTTGATTGAATCTGCTGATGTGGTACCGGAGATACGGAGGACCGACGAGATAATTAGCACATCATTTTAATAATATCTTAGGAATTCAGAAATTAGATGTTAGCAATTACAGAGAAATTATAGATAATTACAGTTTTTGTATATCTATGTCAATAATTTTTCTTTATAGCTGAAGTAGGTCATGAGACCTATTTTAATTTGATGGCATTCTGCTTTCTTGCTCTGCTCATTCCAAAGTTCTGTGTGGATTTTTGAGATGTTACTGAAAATACTGATTCGTTTTAAAGTTGACTACCTTTGTAATATGAAAGATTTTTTAAAAATACAGTACCAATAGTTACCAAATGTCAATAGGTCAATTTAGGAATCAAAGTTTTTTGTTTTTGTCTTTTTTAAATATATTTTATTGATTTTTTACAGAGAGGAAGGGAGAGAGAGAGTCAGAAACATCGATGAGAGAAACATCAAACAGCTGCCTCCTGCACATCTCCCACCGGGGATGTGCCTGCAACCCAGGCACACGCCCCTGACCGGAATCAAACCCGGGACCCTTCAGTCCGCAGGCCGACGCTCTATCCACTGAGCCAAACCGGTTTTGGCAGGAATCAAAGTTTTAAAAAACTTTTGATTTCTTTTGTATTTGCAGACACTTCAGAGTCTTTTGCCTTTTTGTAATGTTTTCTAAATGGTGGCGATTCACATATTAGAAACGGATTTGGGATTTTAAAAAATGAGTTAATGAATGTACCAACATTTGTATTGTAGGCCTTTCAGAACGCCTTGAGCATGGGGCCCACACAGTGGGACTTCCCTGTGGAGTTATGCTGTCGGCCGATGGCCTTTGTCGCTCTCACCGGCCTGGATGTGGTGTATAATGCTGTCCACCGAGCTGTCTGGGATGCTTTCTGTGCCAATCGGAGGGCTGATCGCGTACCAATTTCTTTCAAGGTGCTCCCAGGGGACCACGAGTATCCCAAATGTAGACCCAAGGTAACGGCGTTATGATTGCATGGGGGCTTTCCTTCTCCCTCTCTGTCTCTATATGTGCATATACCCTTTTTGTTCCTACTGTCTGAGCTCGAAAACCCCTGAGTTTATTAAAGGGATGGTTACAGTGACGGGTAGAGAAAACCCTGGTTTTTGTCAAGTCTAATATACTGCAGGTGTGTTTAATAATGGTGTTTTTTTTTATACAGTGAGCCTAGTTTTTTCTTTTTTTCATTTGTTTTTACAAAACCCCAAATCTCCATAAAGGCCTCTCTATTTAGGAAGGTTTCACATTCCCCGTTCATCATTACCAGTATTGTCGTAGGACCCATGGTCTTCACAGTTTACAAGTAAAGTGAAATGCCCTCTTGGCAATATGTCTTGAAACAAATGAAGCTATGTTGGATTTCAGATAATAGTTTATTTGAGCAGCTTTTACAAGAACAGACACTTGAAATGGTGAGGAATATAAGTCAAATTTACCTGGAAAAGGGCTGTTTGCTTCCAGGGTATTTGAGAGCCTTATATCATTAGAAACACTTGGTTTTGTTCATTCTTTAAATGAAAATTGTCACAGCACTGGGGTTGAGATCCCATCTCTACTACTTTCTGGCTATTTGGTCTCCGTAAGCTGGGATTTCCTCATCTTGTTAACAATGGCTTGGGTATACACTGAGTGAGTTAAATGCCCATAAAGTGCCTGGGGCTCAAGAACAGGCAGTTTCCGCTGCTGTTGTCATCAAGTAACTCTTCACCTTTTGCCAATATTTGCAGAGAACTTCCTACGAGTGGTACATTCCGAAAGGGATCCTGAAGACCGGCTGGATGAACAAGCATCTGAACCTGGTGCCAGCCCTGGTGGTTGTGTTCTACGAGCTGGACTGGGACGAGCCGCAGTGGAAGGAAAAGCAGTCCGAGTGCGCCACCAGAGTGGAAATAGTCAGGTCTGGTCTTCGCGCTCGTCAGGTCGGCCCGTTAGGTTGATGGCCACTGGGCACTGTTTAGGCTGCAGTGGTCACTTTGGGGATTGCTGAACTCCAGTGAAACGTGTTCAGTTCCAAACAGGAAGCATTCACATTAACTTAAATAATGCTGAGCAGGATGAAGAAATTAGAAGACGAATTGGTCTGAATGCTTTTTCAAATGCTTTTTCTTGCATTTCTATTTTTTGAAGATACTGTAATTTGCTCGTTAGCCTCATAATACTTTTGCTCTATCACCAGCTCAGTTTCAAAATAATTCTTTTGAATGACTACTCTGTAATATGTCACTATAAGGATATTGTATTATAACTTTTACACGAAAGTACATATTAAACTTTTACTTTCAAAACATACTTTTGTAAGGATTCAAAGCTTGATGTGAGATTATATTTTTGAAGTTGAAATCATGTGTTTCTTTGTATGCAGGGGAAGATTTCCTCTAATCTTGTAGATTTTTTAGTTGAAATTTCTTTCTTTGAATTACCAAATGTATTTTATGTAAGGTCTTGAATAGATACATGTATTTAAAATATGTTTTTATTGATTTCAGAGAGAGGGAGAGCGGGAGAGAGGGATAGAAACATCAATGATGAGAGAGAGACATGGGTTGGCTGCCTCCTGCACGCCCCCTAGTGGGGATGGAGCTCCAACCTGGGAATGTGTCCTGACCTGTAATTGAACCATGACCTCTTGGTTAATGGGCTGATTGATGCTCAATCACTGAGTGACACCATCTGAGTTTGAATACTAGTATATTTCTAAAAAACAATTTAATTATTTAATGTTATAATTTTTCCATTGCAGGCAGAGTTTACAAGGGAGAAACACAAAAGTTGCAGTGGTTCTGATTCAGAAGAAAACCCCGTTGCCCCCAGGTATCAAAAAGTTAATAATGAATTAATTGTTTTATGCCTCCAGTTCTTATTACCAAGAAGCATAATTGTTAATGTCAAAATCTTTTATGCATTCAGTTATGGGAAAGGTAGTGTACTAGTAACACATGCATAATGCTTATTGTAAAAATTTAAGAATATTTAAGAGTGCAGATCTTCTTAAGTCCTGCTCCCTGTCACTTATCTCTTGATGTAGGCATATAGCAATTGACAAAACAGTTAGCACTTGATTTTTAAACAACATTGTTTACATACTTATCTGAGGTTTGTTTAAAATTATATTCCTCGTGTAATATTTTTTTTCTTAATTTGCAATAGGGCCAAGAACAATGCAATAGTATTTTTTTTTAAACATTTTTTAAAAATATCTTTTATTGATTTTTTACAGAGGAAGGGAGAGGGACAGAGAGTTAGAAACATTGATGAGAGAGAAACATCGATCAGCTGCCTCCTGCACACCTCCCACTGGGGATGTGCCCGCAACCCAGGCACATGCCCTTGACCGGAATCGAACCTGGGCCCTTTCAGTCCGCAGGCCGACGCTCTATCCACTGAGCCAAACTGGTCAGGGCAATAGATTTCTAATTTCTCATTAGAAAATGCCTAGGTTTTGCCCAGCCACAGTGGCTCAGTTGCTTGAGCATTGTCCCATGCACCGAAAAGGTTGCAGGTTTGACTCCTGGTCCGGCCACAGACGTACTGAGAGGCCAAAATATTTTTTGTTTCGGTGTTGGAACTTTTAGCATCCTGAATCCACTTTCAGGAATTATTGCTTCCAGTTTTAGTTACGGTTTTTGAAATAGTAATGTGGCTTCTGTGTTGGCATAAATTAGTGTATCTTGGCTCAGGAGAAAATTCCATAGTATTTTCCTGACAGATAATGTACTGTGTCCCTTCTAAGAACCTGCAGTGCTCTCAAGGATCCCAGGAATCCTACTGGCATAGTGACAGTGGTTTGGGTTTTTATTCTTAACTAGAGGCCTGGCGCATGAAATTCCTGCACTGGATTGCGAGAGGGTTCAGGTTAAGCCAAGGGACCCCACCGTTGCACGATTTGGGCAGGGGAGGGACGCGGGAGGTTGGCCAGCTGGGGAGGGACCACGGGAGGGCTCCAGGGTGTGTTCGGCCCATCTCGCTCAGTCCCGATTGGCTGGACCCCAGCAGCAAGCTAACCTACTGGTCAGAGCGTCTGTCCCCTGATGGTCAGTGCACGTCATAGTGATTGGTTGACTGCCCCCTGGTGGTCAGTGCACGTCATAGCAAGCAGTTGAGTGGCCTTAGCATATTATTAGCATATTACGTTTTGATTGGTTGAATGGCTGACTGGACGACCAGACACTTAGCATATTAGGCTTTTATTATATAGGATTATATTGCTCAGGTTTGGGGAAATGCTCATTGGGAAGAATGCATTAATTATTTTTTCTATCTTTGTGGGCCATGTCAACAGGAGAGGATGTTATGGCTTCAGAAAGGGCTGCAGCTTTATGTAATGCGTGTGAACTCTCAGGAAAATCTTTGTTTGTCCTGCCCCACACTGACCACCTTGTGGGTTATATTATAAGGTAAATGAAGGTCTTTGAAATATTTTTCTTTAGATTGTTTATTAGGCATTGAGAAATTGGAGGTTTAGACCCATTTATAAAAAAAAAAAGTAGATGTTCATGGGGAAAAAATTCAAATGGTGTTGAGGATATGAGATAAAAAGTAAAATCCCCTTAGTCAACTCTTTAACTTTCCAGTTCCCTGGGATAACCACTATCAACATCTTACTACACTTGATCTTCACCAAAAGGCTGAAAAGTGATTCCACTAGCAATGACTTGTTTCCTTCCTAAAAATGTCTTTCTTTATAAAAATAAATATAATCTTACAGCATATACTGAACTGCCATGTAACATCACCTCATTGACATCATATGTACCTCTAGGTCAACTTCATTTAAAAAACTTTTCCATATTTTAAATTGTACTTCTCAGTAACTATCATATGGCCTTTTCTGACATACTTGTCCTTTTATATGACAGTGTCTCTATTTCTGGCCCGTGTTTTACTTCATTTTTAATGTTTATGTATATCCTATCTAATAAAGAGGGAATATGCTAATTGACCCTCATGCCATCTCAAAGATGGAGGCGCCCACAGCCAATAAGGAGGGAATATGCTAATTGACTGCCTTGCCTTCAAAGATGGCAGCACCCAGTGTCCTCAGCCCCTCCAGGGTGGCAGATGCACGGCCAGATGCCTAGGGGCGGGCCCGGCCTTGCCATGCGCCTGCTCCCAGAGTCCCCCAGTCCCCTCAGCCCCCCAGCCACCCAGGGCCGGCCTGAGGCTCAGGTAACCTGGGCCGCCTGAGGCCTGCGCTGCCGGCAGTGGCAGCAGCAGAGGTGTGATGGGGCATCGCCTTCCCCTGATCGCCGGGTCGCTTCCCACCCCTGAGGGCTCCTGGACTGTGAGAGGGGGCAGGCTGGGCTGAGGGACCACCCCCTCCAGTGCATGAATTTTCATGCACCGGGCCTTTAGTATTTAAATAATGTTTAAAAAGTGTCTGAGTCCCATCATATCTTAGCCTGCAGATATAGCCTTATCTCACAAATTATGTGACCATTGTCCAGTTCACAGAAGCAACTTTCTATTTTTTAATAGATTAGAAAACGCCTTTTATGAACATGCACAGACCTATTACTACACAGAAATCAGAAGAGTGAAATCTCATAAAGAATTTTTGAATAAAACAACACACCAGGTACGTGTTTTTCCCTGAAGAAGGAAATAATAAAGATTTTAGAGCAGATTAATTTGAGGGAGATAATGAATGTTTTTAATACTTTGATGTTTTTAAAGGGCTTCAGTACTTTTAAAGTTTTTTTAAGCATTTATTTATTTACTTATTTATTTTGTTAATCCTTACCCGAGGATATTTTTTCCATTGGATTTTAGAGAGAGTGGAAGGGAGAGAGGGATGGAGGGAGAGAGACAGAGAGAAAATCGATGTGAGAGAGATACATCGATTGTTTGCCTCCCAAATGTGCCCGACTGGGGCTGGGGATCCAGCCTGCAACCTAGGTACATGCCCTTTACCAAAATCGAATCCGTAACCCTTCTGTCTGCAGGCTGATGCTCTAACCAGGCCAGGGCTTTTTAAAGCATTTAAGAGCTAATTAGTTTTTGTATCCTTTGCCCTTAATGTTCTTAAATGTAGACTTTTATAGCCTTCTTAACTATACTTATTTGTTGGAATAATTTTTGAACTTTAATTTTGAATATTTTCTTATACCTTTGTGTCTCAATAAAAATTATTAAAAATTTTATATTTTTAAGAGAATATGTGTAATGATTTTTTTTCTATTTTTTCAGCTTTTATTTGTTAGACACCAGTTTAAAATAGCTTTCTTCAGTGAGTTGAAACAAGATACACAAAATGCACTGAAGTAAGTTTCTAACAGTTGTCAAACTAAATTTTTCTTATCTTGATGTTAATGATACGATATTAATGGCAACTTCTGAATCATAACCAAACTAATTTTAAAATGTTTATGTTAATTTAGATTCAGGTATATAGTATTTAGTTTATCTAGATATGAGTGGAATATAATATTTTTAGATTTAAAAAAATTCTGTTATTGTAAATAAATTTTATAGTTATAAGGCTTTCTGGTCTACTTTCATTAAATGACATGAATTAAAGAAACAATATTAAAATATTCCCACTTTCTACTTATTGTATATTCAGTAAAATGCTGTGTTAAGACTGCTTTCTTCCAAAGTTAAATATACATATAAACATCTAAATCAGACTATGAATTTGAGTTGTATAGTGCATTTATTCAGTTAAGCTATGTTTTTGTTTATTTATTTGTGTTTTAATTGATTTTATAGAGAGGAAGGCAGAGAAAGAGGGAGAAACATTGATTGGTTGCCTCCTGCAACTGAGTTTGTTCCCTGACTGGGAATCAAACCCACAAGCTTTTAGGTATACAGGCCAGCACTCCAGTCAAACCACACTGGCGAGGGCATGATTTTATTTTAATTAAAGTTGTTTTTTAGTTTTTAATGCCTGACAATAGCATCATTTTTCATTCAATTCTCTGCTTAGAGCTTTGATGAGTAGTTGGGGATGTGTTGGCAGAAGTTAAGCCTTTCATTCCTTTGCCACAATTTAATAAAACATGATCTCTTTCTAGCTTTGGCAGTGGCAGTGTAACAGAGGGATAAAAACAGCAGTATATCCTCAAATTGAGGACAGGCTAAGTGTACAGGGAGAAAAATAGAGAAATAAATAAAAACATGTCTATTTTTCAGAGGAATATTGAAGAAACCTCTTTTGTGTGATTATTGAGGTGCTAAGTACCAAATTGTTCTCTAAATCTCAACAAATTCAGATAATTAGAGCTGAGTTTACTATAGTGTATTTTGAATCCAGGGTATTAGTTAAAAACCTTCCATTCCAATTCTGTCCAAAAGCACTTCTGGGAAGAAAAGTGTCACCTGGTGCAGTTAGGAGCAGTTTCTTTGGAGAAGACTGAGATTTCCTCCTGGCCGTCCATGTTCAGGGAAGGCCTCCTTCGGCCAGGCTCTTCTGTGTCCCACGCTCTCCCTCAGCGCCAGCCGCCCTGGAACATTTCCCCTCTCCAGCCTGCTCCCGAGACCAGTGATACCCACTTAACTTGTAGAGACACTTGGGTTTAAACGCTACTGACCTGTGCTGTCCTGATAACACCTTTCCTAGAACAGTTTCTATTTGCTTGAGAAGTTTGTGTGATGCTTTTAAGAAATAACTTATTTTTTAACAATGCTAATTTAAAAACAAATATTGATTTCAGAGAGGAAGGGAGAGGGAGAGAGATAGAAACATCAGTGATAAAAGAGAATCATTGATTGGCTACTTCCTGCACGCCCCCTACTGGGGATTGACCCCACGACCCAGGCATGTGCCCTGATCAGGAATCACTGTGATCTCCTGGTTCATAGGTCAATGCTCAACCACTGAGCCACACTGGCTGGGCAACATTACTAATTTTTAAATGTAATTCTGGACAATTTTCCACTTTTCTTTAGTTTTTCAACTTTTTTTCTATCAGTTATTGACAGATGTTAATGACAGAGCAAGGTGCACGTGATGGTACTGTTCTTTTTTTTTCTTTATTGATTAAGGTATTATACATGTGTCCTATCGCCACATTGCCCCCCTACCCCCTTACTCATGCCTTCACCCCCCTGATGCCTGTGTCCATTGGTTAGGCTTATATGTATGCATACAAGTCCTTTGGTTGATCTCTCCCCCTTTCCCCCACCTCCCCCTACTTTCCCTCTGAGATTTGACGGTCTGATTGATGCTTCTTTGTCTCTGGATCTGTTTTTGTTCATCAGTTTATGTTGTTCATTATATGTGATGGTACTGTTCTTAATGAAAAGTCATTGAAGGTTCTCACACATTATTATTAAATATATTTTATTGGTTTCAGAGAGGAAGGGAGAGGGACAAAGAGATAGAAACATCAATGATGAGCGAGAATCATTGATTGGCTGCACGTCCCCTACTGGAGATCAAGCCCACAACCTGGGCATGTGCCCTTGACCGCAATCGAACCCGGGACCCTTCAGTCCGCAGGCAGATGCTCTAGTCACTGAGCCAAATCAGCTAGGACTCACACATTATTAATTCATATATCACTTTTCAGGAAATCAGAGCTTAATATGTATATGTTGTTGAGCTGTTGAGTGCTAAGAAATGTTAACTCTCCATTCTCTTTGTTATTTTAATAATTTTGTTCTTAGGAATCTTTTCAAAATTAATTTATAGCGTAATTAATCACTTCCCTCATGTTTTTCTTAGGAATTATCGGACCGCCTATAATCTTGTACATGAATTGAGAGCCCATGAAACGAATATTCTGGAAATTAAGACCATGGCAGGATTTATAAACTACAAGGTAAGAGTTCTAATTCCAAATAAAGAAAATTTGTTTTTAAGTATCACATTATCTTTTTAAAGTTTGAAAACCAAAATCAGTTACTTGTTCTGAAAAGTATTAGATTAGTAATGCACCTCCTTCATGTCCTTTATCTCAAGGACACCTGGTGCTTAGCAGCCTAATTGTAATGCTTGGTTTGAGTTTTATGGGTGACAGAGTTCTAAGGGGGTCTTTTGTCTGTTTTTAAGTGGGAGCAGGAAGGAGGGAGAAGAAAGCTGCCTATAGTATTGAATTTTAAAAGGTTTAACATGTTAGAACCATACAAGGCTTCCTTGGTTTAATGCACAGCCATAGGAAAGGTGTATCTGTTCACCGTAGTGGAAACTTTTATTCATATTATTTACGCATTTTAAGTTTATCTGTGGTAGAAATAGATGCCCCCAGAAGGCAGGTGAGAGCTATTTGTTTTGGTTAATCTTCCCCCACACAGTATTTTAAAGATGGCTGGCACTGGGCTGGTGATGTGAGGGCAGATGGCAACTTTCATTCATTGTTTCTGTAAGTGTAAATTGGTCCAACTTCTATAGAGAATAATTTGCAATGACTGTACAGATTTCAAGTGGATGTTGCCTTTGATCTTAGCAATTCCATTTCAGGAAATTTATCTGACATGTGTGCTAACTTGCAAATCACACATATGAGGATATTTATTGCATCCTGTAGTAGGAAAAGATTGGAAACCCAGAAATAAGCGACTGGCTAATATAAATGATAACTCTAGGTTTTTTTTTAAGGTATAGAATAGACTCCATATAATACTGAGTAATTTTATTCGTTTATCAAAGGGGCATAGCCTCTGGTTTTAGCATAGAGAAAATCTATATTGTCATAGAGAAAATCGATTCTATCTCCAAGAACTTCAGAGAAGGAAGCTCCATAGTCCTTGAAGGTTAGTCTCAATGTTTACATATTTTTAAATGAATATGCCTTTGACTTTGATTTTCTTTTCCTTTTGGGGTTGATTTTACATTTTGCAGATCTGTAGGCTGTGTTTTCAGCACAACACCCCACTGGATGCAATTGCTCAGTTTCGAAAGCACATCGACTTGTGTAAGAAAAAAATCGGAAGTGCGGAGTTGTCCTTTGAGCATGCTGCATGGATGTCTAAACAGTATGTTTTCAATTGTACTTTTAGGATGTCTTTTTTTTTAATACTTGGGAGGGGGAAATGGAAGACATCTGTAATACTGTCAACAATTTAAAAAAATACGCGTGATATGGAGGGCTAGAATTGGCATGGACTTTCATTTAAATTGAGCAAAGAGTTTTGTCAGTAAGTAGGTTTTTAATGGTCTTGCATAAGTATGTTTCTAGTAATCCTATATAATAAAAGGGTAATATGCAAATCAGCCGAATGGCAGAACCACCCGTCGTTATGATGCACAAAGACACAGGAACTGCCCCCTAGTGGTCAGTGCGCTCCCACAAGGGACCGCCGACCGCCGCTCAGCCAGAAGCCGGGCTCATGGCTGGGGAACATGGCGGTGGTAGGAGCCTTTCCCGCCTCCGTGGCAGCTTTAAGGACCCCTCGGGGGATGTCTGACTGTTGGCTTAGGCCCACTCCCTGGGCTGTCGGACATCCCCCAAGGGATCCCCGACTGTGAGAGGGCACAGGCTGGGCTGAGGGGACCCATCCCCCCCTTCCCCCAGGCACAAATGTTGTGCACTGGGCCTCTATTGACTTTCTAACATGTGTCTAGGTACTGAGAATGTAGCAGCGAACAAAACAAAATCTCTACGGACATGGAACTTCCTACTTGAGACCCATGTTTAAAATTGCTAAAATGAAGTTCCCAGAGTCACGGATGTATTTGATGGTGGCAATTATGTTGGCATCTAGTTTGGCAGGATATTGTAAAGGGTTGCAGCTCAGAAGAGTGGACTTAGATACAGAATCTGTTACCTGTAATTGATTAGTGTGTATTAGTGTTTATGCAGGAAGTCCCACTTACTTATAGTTGATCAGTAGCACTATTTTAATCCAGTCTGGTGAGGTTATGGTTCCAGGATGAATAATTATAAAAGTAAGCTTTTTCTTTTTCTTTTCATTCTTTGTTTATTCTTTGATTTTTTTTTTCTTTAAGATTCCAGGCCTTTGGAGATTTATTTGATGAAGCTATTAAGTTAGGGTTGACAGCTATTCAAACTCAGAATCCTGGTTTCTATTACCAGCAGGCAGCATACTACGCCCAGGAGCGGAAGCAGCTCGCAAAAACCCTCTGCAGCCCTGAGGTAAGTTACCGACCCCCATGCCATCTGCCCTTTAGGAAGTTGGTTCCTCTTCTCTCGAAAGAAGTTAAAACTAATGGTGTGGGCAATTTTTTCCGAGCCTTTGAATATAATCGGCTCCATTTCGCCTGTGAAGCAGTTTTTCTTGGAAGAACTGACTTACGATTGTCAATAAGCTAGTGACTTAGACAAGAGGAAATTACTTTAAAATAAAAGCCACAGCTCAGCCGGTGCCACACCAAGTCCAGTGTTGCGTTTCTGTGCGCGCAGCTGTAGGAGCCGGAAGGGCACGCAGACGTGAGCACCATTCTGACCCACCGGAGAGGATGCCTCTGGACTTTTCTCTTCCCGAGGTTTCCCCGAGGGAGGACTCCAAGAATCTGAGACATACTGTTAATTGCATAGTTTCTTAACGTGACATTTCATTTTGCCTTTCTCTTGGATGTTTGTATTTAAACACTGGTTTCCCATAAGCACCTTTAAAATAAGCACATGGTGGGAAGTGTGTGTGTATATTTACATTCATATAGTGGTATCAGTTTATTTTCACTTAAAGTTCCGTTTTCTTCTCAGAAGGTAGGTGAATATGATCAGCAGTCCCACTCTGTATTTGAATGTGTTGGTGTTTGTGTTATGAACACTTTTTACTCTGTCCGATGAGGGAGAGTTGGCTGTGGTGGGTTACATGGGCTCCTGTTTCGGGCCGTGTTTTCATTCGCAGGCTTCGGTGACGTATCCCAGTCCTGACCCCTTGGAAACACAAACAGGCGCTCTTGACTTCTACGGACAGAGGCCCTGGCGGCAAGGAGTACTAAGTAAGCACTTCCCTCCCTTTCTCTCAGCCTCAGAAGCAGATGGCTCTCATGGTTTTTCTCTTGGCTGCTTTAGGCAGAGCAGATTACGTTGGGGTGAAAATGTGTGTTTTTAAAACACTTTACAAAAGATTTTTCGTTTTTTAGTTTTTAGAGTGTTTGTTTGTATCACTACATCTGAGAATAATTTAAAATTAAAGATGGGATAGGATTAAGATATTTGGACATCTGTTGCCTTAACTTTAATGATTTGTTTGATATTTTAAAACAGCATTTGTATCACCTTAAAAATAATCCCTCTGCATCTTTTTTTGTGTTTTATGCATACTTAATTCAATTGGAGCAATTTCTGTGGCAAGTGTTGAGAAATCATTTACTTTCATCTCCAGGAAGAAAATTCTGTGTAGAAAATGATGCTGGTGTTACTCCTCAGGTGGCCGATTCCACCTGGCAAAGAATATTGAGCTCCGTGACGTTCTCTCTAACGGAGGTCACAGAGAAGTCGCCATGCTAATAAAGCTGCCTCCTGCAATCTTTAAAGTTCTAGAATGTTTGAGAATTGTAAATACATTATATTGAAGGGAAGGATTCGAGGAGTGTGCACACCCCCTCTTCGTGTGGAGGAGTTATGTTCAATGTGCTTTCTAAAATGGGTTGGGTCTTACCTAATACAGGTTTTGACCTTTCGGATCCTGAAAAAGAGAAGGTGGGAATTCTTGCCATTCAGCTGAAGGAGAGAAACGTCGTTCACTCGGTAAGCTTTTCCCCAGTGCCAACTATTTTGTACCGTATTCAAGTAAAACGTGGGATTGTTTTTGTTAGGACGTCTCACACTGTATCTTTTCTAACAGGAAATAATAATAACTCTTCTGAGCAATGCTGTTGCGCAGTTTAAGAAGTATAAGTGTCCGAGAATGAAAAGCCATCTAAGTATGTATCCATAACATGCCACAGTTTCGTCAGGTTGGAATGCTTTTACATTATGTACATCAAATCTTTCTTCCTTTGTAGTGGTCCAGATGGGAGAGGAATATTACTACGCAAAGGATTACACCAAAGCTTTGAAGTGAGTCCTGTTCACTGTATTTTTACAAGTATTATGATTACTTTACAGCACAATTAGAAATTTGTACCGAAGGATTTAATATTTCCCTATTTATTTCTACTTCTCTTACACTCCATTTCTGTGATATTTTTTTAATTACTATCTGCTATACAATCCTTTTCAAAGACTTAGGGAGCTTCAGATTTAGCTAAATGTGAGAATACTTGTTAAACTATTTCAGTAAGGTTTTCTGAAGTTTGGGCACTTTATTTTCTCCCGGAACTCTTCCCACCCCCATCCTATGAAGTTATTCAGCCTGTCTTTCCATCATCTTCCAGGTTGCTGGACTACGTGATGTGTGATTACCGGACCGAAGGCTGGTGGACTCTGCTCACGTCAATATTGACGACAGCTCTCAAGTGTTCCTACCTGATGGCCCAGTTAAAAGATTACATTACTTATTCCCTAGAACTCCTTGGAAGGGGTAACTTGCTGTTCTTCCAGTTAAATTCTGAATTTTTAAGATTATTCAGCAACTTGAAGCTTCTTAAGATTGGAAGAATGATTATGTCAAATATCCGGTAGTACTTTTGCCGTGTGCAGGTCACTGCAAAGTGAAGGCATTCATACCTTTTGTGGAATTTACAATAGCTGAGGGACTTGTAGTTGAGAAAAACAAAATTCTTTTGCCTCTAAGGCTTGTCAGAAAGTAAGTTTTCACATAGACTTCAGTGCAAGTATATAAAGTGTGGGGGTTGGCCTTAGAAAGCTGTCTGTCAGTTTTCTGGAATCGTGCTTAGCAGAGACATTCTGTGACGTTTTAGTGCCCTCATGGGGGGCGGTGGGCGGACTTGCCTGTCTTACAGTTCCGGTTTTTTTCTCTTCCTTCCTATTAGCTTCAACTCTGAAAGATGACCAGAAATCTCGGATAGAGAAGAACCTCATCAATGTTTTAATGGTAGGTTGGAATTCTTCCTGTAAAGCGAGTTCCGAGGCTGTGTGCGCTTGGATCTGAATCCTGCATGTGTGTGTTCTGTAACCAGCTGAGCGAGTGTGTAACTCTGTGTTGTGCAGAACGAAAGTCCTGAGCCTGAGCCCGACTGTGACGGCGCCGCGGTGAAAACTGCCCAGAAGCTGTGGGCGGACTGGGTCTCCCTGGCCGGCAGCAACGTGTTCACCGTCGGGGTGCAGCACTTGGTGCCATTTGGTGGGTAGCCATAGCTGCAGTGTTATTTCAGGGAAAGTATCCTTATTTCTACACAATGAATAGGTGCAGAATAATAATTATAGAAATCAAAGAATTTCCAAACTATAGTCATAAATAAACTAATTTTATTTATTTTTCCCCATTGATGATCAAAATTTTTAATAGTTTATGTCTTAAGTTTACTTTGTTCAGTTGTAGTTCAGATGTTATTTGAAAAACATTTGAAGAGTCTTATTTGAAACACATGTGCTTTACTGTCTAGGGCAGGTATTTTGGAATAAATTAAAAGCAACAAAATGGTTCTTTTTCCTTTAAAATACTATGTTACATGTCAGGAGCAACGGTGTTTTTAAGATTAATGCTGGTTTTGGAACTGTAGTTTACTTAAATTTGGTTTGTTTTTAAAAAGTGAGTTCCCTTTGTGTGCATCGAAGCACTTCCCACATAGCAGCCGGTGAGAACATGCATGTGGGTGCGTCCTTTCCGCAGAGCGAGGATCGGAGAGCCGTGTGTGAGGGCCCGGATGTGCTGGTGTGTGACTCGGCCCCTCTGTTTCTTTCCAGTGCAATGCAAAGCCAAGTTTCACGCCCCCAGTTTCCACGTTGATGTGCCTGTACAGTTTGATATTTATCTGAAGGCTGACTGTCCGCATCCCATCAGGTTCTCTAAGCTCTGCGTCAGCTTTAATAACCAGGTAATGGTGCCTGCTCAGGGCCTCACCACGTGTGAATCTTACTGCAGCTCCCGTGCAGTTAGATAGAGTGAGCTTAGCAAGCTTTAGGTCTTAATGACTTTGTGGGAAATTAAACAATGTGTGTATTTCTCAACTTCTATATCAGCAATTCAGATTTAACATTTTCCCACTATTTTTGTTTTTCACTCCATGCTTATGAAATCTAAGAACTTTTGTCTATATATTTTTGTAATATGTAACTTGAATTCCAAATAAGATATATTCAGAATGAATATAATTTTCAAAATCATTTGCTCTGCATATAGCATTGATACTAGTTTTTCATTATTAAACTACTAGAGGCCCAGTGCATGAATTCGTGCATGGGTGGGGTCGTGCCGGGTGCCTGGATCGGGGGTGGGGCTGGCCGGGGGGAGGGGACATGGGAGGTTGGCTGGCCAGCCCTGCCCCCTGGTCGAACTCCCGGTCGAGGGGACAGTTTGCATATTAGCCTTTTATTGTATAGGATTATGTGCTTGATGTTGAAGAAATTGAGGTGGGATAGATATAAATGAAGAGTAAATATGTAAACCTGTGCCCCTCCACGTCCCTCCCCGGAGCCCACACTGTCTCCTTGAATAGTCGCATTTTCAGCAGCTTTTCTCTGCAGAATGGGGACTGCGCTGTATTTCCCACGTGTGAACACTTGCGTGGTGCGATAGTGTCCAGTCAAGTGCTGTGTTACGTTCTAACTTTCAGTTATAAGCTCACTTAGTAGATAATTACCTCGGTCACCTGGAAAGTGTATGGAGCCTTTAACCAGCAAGCACTTACTGAGAGTGACAATATTCTTGATATCATGGTGAACCTGAGAAGTTTGAGAATTTTAAAGCAAAAGCTTTAAGAAATTTTATTCCAGTAACAAAACAGGGGAAGAAATGTTATGGAAACCAACTGGAGGTCTTTTCTGAAGGCAGGTGCAGAGGCCACCTCCCCTTATGCACCTGACCTTTCCTGTGAGGAATTGGAGAGGAGCTGGTGGTGGGAGGTGAGGTTACAAGACATTCAGTAAGGCTGGGTTCCTGAGTGTAGACAGAGGACAAAGAATGGGGTAGGATGGATAAAGGGCAGGGCCTTTGTAAAAAGAGCCAAAACATTTTATTTACTTTCTGATGAATTAATTTTTATAGCTTTACTGAGATAGGATATAAACTGTGTAACTTCAAAGTGTACAACATGATGCTTTTGTACCCACGTGTATTACGAAACGATGACCACAGTAAGGTTAGCTAACACGTCATCACCTCACGTAGTCCCCGTGTGTGTGTGTGTGTGTGTGTGTGTGTGTGTGTGTGTGGTGCGCACACTGAGGACCTGCTCCCTCACCTCTCCGTGATGCGTACAGTGTTGTTCATTATTGTCACCACGCTGTGCATGAGAACTTACCCGTCAATAATTGGAAGTTAGTGCTCTTTTTTTTTTAATCCTTATTGTTAAAAGTCTTACATCTGTCCCAAGTTAGTGCTCTTTGACCAGCATCTCCCCACTTGCCCCACCCCTTGGTAACCACCATTCCGCTCTGTTTCTGTGAGTCCTGTTTCCATGGTTACAGATTCCAGCTGTAGGGAGATGGTGCGCTATCGGGATGGGGCATTTGCATGTGCTGCGTCACCTGCTTGGCCTGGCTTCCCTGCTCTCTGTATCTGCTCAGTTCCTGGTGTCGTAGCCCCTTAAAGCCTCACTCCCTCAGGGACACCTCCCTGACCACGTGACCCCCTGAGCTCGCCAGGCTCCACAGCCCTGCCCAGGGCTTGTCACAGGCGTGGCTTCGCTGTGGGGGATTGTTCGGTAAGGACTGTTTTCCTTTCTGGAACGTGAGCTCCACAGGACAGGTAACTCTTGCTCTCCAGGAAATACTCTGAATCCGGAATTAGGGTCAGTGTAGAGACTTGTAGTTTCCTTTGCTCCTATCCTACTAGCCTATTTCTTTCCTTTATTAAATAACAAGCATAGACTATTTCTGTAATGAAAAACTAGTAAAAATATTAAAATGTAAAGCAGTTAGTTTTAGATTATATTCTGAACATGTGTTATTTGAAATCCAAGATACAAATCAAGGAAAAGTGGTGGCTCGTTCTTAGATTTCATAAGCGTGGACTAGAAATGAACATTCGGGAAAGTAACAGCATAACCTGTGGGAGTTTTCTGAGAAGATACTCCACCTGCTGGGGCGCAGGCAGCTCCTGGGGCGCTCTTGCTATCTGAGGACTGGGTGGGAGTGGTGCGTCCACGGGCTTATGCAGGACGTGTCTGCGTTGGCGCATCTGGAAGAGGAGCCGCTGTGCGAAGGCAGGTGGGCGCGCAGCTGGATGCTGAATCTGGGTTGTGTGGGACTACCCCGAGGCAGGTGTGGATGTGAGCTTCTGGTTGGGGAAACAGGACAGAATTGGAAGCGTCTGTGGGAAATAGCACAGAGGTGCCAAGCGGGAAGACAGGAGACTGCAGCGCAGTGAGCGCACGGGGAAAAGGAGAGCTGAAGGCCCAGCACAGACACCGCAGCCTGACCGGTGCGGAGACGCGCCTGCTTTGCATAAAACCTTCCTTCCGCTGGCAGCCCTTCCTGAGGCACCACTCAGTGGAGGCAGCCTTACAAGCGCCAGCTCACGCGTGTTCAGTGTAAGCAAAGCATGATGTTGACGTCATACACTGCGGCTCTTGCCGACCTCTTTTTCAGGAATACAACCAGTTCTGTGTGATCCAGGAAGCGTCCAAAGCAAGCGAAGTTTTAGAAAACCTGACTCAGGGGAAGATGTGCTTAGTTCCTGGAAAAACGAGGAAGTTTGTGTTTAAATTTGTTGCAAAAACTGAAGATGTGGGAAAGAAAATTGAGGTTAGTTGTGAAATTTATTTAAGAGAGATTTTAAATGATACAAGTATATGTGTGTGCCAGAGAAAATTCAAGTGATACAGATGTTTATTAAGTACGTAAGAAAGCCTGCCACTTGGACTTGCCAGGGAAACCATTCATAATGGCTTGGGGTTCCCTTTCACTGAGAATATACTGTGTAGTCAGTGGGTGGCTTTTTTACTTAATAGCGCATGTTAGACGCCATTTCCTGTTAGTACATAAGACCAACCTTATTTTTTAATGTTGGCATAATCCCTTAAGGAATTATAAACAAAACATATAATATAGCAATTGTATTTTGTATGATGTGACAATTCAGTCATTTTGATGTTTAAACATTGCTGATTATATATTTTAAAGGTAAGAAAGGAAGATATATATATATATGTGTGTATATATATATACATAAAAGGATTCATTTAATATAGAAAAATACCACATGATCTCACTCATTTATGGATAATAAGGCCATTATAAACTGATGAACAAAAATAGATACAGAGGCAGAGCAGCCTCGAACAGACTGTCAAACTACAGCCAGAAGGCTGGGGGGGTTGGAGGGTAGGAGGGGGGCGGGTAAGAGATCAACCGAAGGACTTGTATGCATGCATATAAGCATAACCAATGGACATGAGACACTGGGGGGTAGGGGAGGCTGGGGGATTGTCAAGGGGGGTGGGGGAAAGGAGACATATGTAATACTCTTTGTAATACTTTAAGCAATAAAACAAAAATATAGATAATTAAAATGCCTTTCAGGCATATACAATGAAAGTAATGTTTTATTGAGCATAAACTCTGAAGCCAAACTAAGTGGGTTTAAATTTCAACTCTCCAGCATATTAGCTTGTGACCCTGGGCAGTTCCTTGACTTTTTTGTGTCTCAGTTTATTCATCTGTAAAATGGGGCTAATAATAGGACCTACCTCTTAGTGTTTCGTGGGCATGAAATGAGTTAGCTAATGTAAATTGCTTGGAACAGTTATTGGTATGCAGTAAGCACTTATTAAGTGCATGCTTTCCATGGCTTGACTGAGAACCGTCGGCTAATGTCAACTTGGAACCCTTTCTAAGATGGAAACTTTAGACTGTACTACCAGTACTCCCAGAACAATTTCTGTGAGTCTTTTGAATTTATTATTACCCAATATCCAGAGATTTTTGTATATTCATTTAAAAGAAATCTTCATGATTTTGACTAAATCCCTAATTACTTATTTTTTACAAGGTACCTAAGGAAACCTATTAGACGTAAATCGTAATAATATTATTTTGAATACATTTGTTGGTGGATTTAGTTGAAAGGAGCATTTGTTCAATTAGTAAAGAATTTCATTGCTAATACCAGAGATGTCTTCAGGAAAAATGTGTGGAGTTAGGTTATGAATATATTAATGGTTATCAAAAACATTCACTTATTTCACTCAGCAACCACTGATTGAGCACCTGTTATGTCAGGCACTATGCCAGGTGCTAAAACCATAGCAGTCAGTGTCTTAGCTAAAAAGTCAAGTTATTCTCTGTTTAAAGGCAAAGAATTTTAAACCTAGTGTTAGCCAGTGTCCCAGCTCATCAATGGCCAGGGTAAGACTCTAACAGCAAGTTTCTGTTGTTTCCTTTTTAATGGATTTTACTGAGAGGAAGGGGAGGGAGGAGGAGCGGGAGAAACATCGGTGTGAGAGAAAAACATCCGTCAGTTTGGTTGCACCCGGACCACGGGATCAAACCTGCAACCGAGGTGTGTGCCCCTCCTGGTGTGCGGGACGACGCTCCGGCCAGCGGAGCCGCCCGGCCAGGGCAGCGGGAGTCTGGCTTCTCTCGCACCTGGGTTTCTGCATGGGCTCCACAGGCCAGCAGTCTCCGATCGCATTTGTGGAGGGGGTGGCGGCGAACAAGAATGAGCTGGCCCTGCTGACAGGCCTCTTCTTTTCAGATCACCTCCGTGGACCTGGTGCTGGGCCACGAGGCGGGAAGGTGCGTGGTTTTAAACTGGCAGGGCGGAGGCGGAGACGCCGCTTCCACCCAGGAAGCCCTCCAGGCCTCGCGCTCTTTCAAACGACGGCCCAAGCTCCCCGACGACGAGGTGCACTGGGACAGCGTCCTGGTCCAGGCCAGCACCATGTGAGTCGGGCTTGCCAGGCGGGCGCCTTGCGTGTCGAGTCCCTGTGAGGCTCGTTTGTCTCTAAAGCGACCAGTTCCTCAGCTGCGGTTTCCCCACAGGGTCATCTCCAGAGTTCCGAGCATCTCGGTGCACCTGCGGCACGACCCTCCTGCCCTGACGAACGAGATGTACTGTTTGGTTGTGACTGTTCAGTCCCACGAGAAGACCCGGATCCGAGACGTGAAGCTCACTGCCGGTTTGAAACCCGGTACGCATGCCTTTTCAGTCTGGTCCGTGGTGTGGGCTCTAGGAAGTCTGCTTAAAATGGTCATGACACAGTGCACTTGGTGCAGTGTTGACTGTGAGGATAAGCTTTGAATTCTCCGGATTCTAAAACAGTGGTAACCCTTTTAGGACAGGATGCCAATCTAACTCAGAAAACTCAGGTGACGCTTCACGGGACAGAGCTGTGCGATGAGTCCTGCCCGGCCTTGCTCACCGACATTCCCGTGGAGGACCTGCGTCCCGGGGAGCAGGTAATCGGGGACAGTGCCGGGAGAAAGGCTGCTAGCTTGTAGTTTAAATGGAACGAGTCTTAGAGCACTTCATAGCATTTCCTGAGACAAGAAACGTGACTTCACTTATGCCTGTTTTATGCCAATTTACACACTTAAATGTATAAATGTCTTCAGGTTTTGCACAAGGGATTTTAGAACAAATGACCTTAATACAGAGATTTAGTTGCCTGATAAATAATTAAATAACACTGTGTGTGTAACTTAGTGAAATAATTTTTCAGTCAACTTTTGATTCCAAACCAAACACACAGATTTCTTGAGGAGCTGGGCATGATGGTAAAAGATGGAGTAGTAATGATCCCACTCTGACCCTGTGCAGGAACAGCCTGTAGAAAGTGTTCCAGCATTTAACCAGTTGCTACAGTAAAGGATAAAAGGTGGGGACATTATCCCCGAATATACAGGGTGTCCCCCAAAAATGTATGCACACTTTAACAGCTGATAGCTCAATTTCAAAATGTATTTTAAATAAACACTGCCTTTATAATTATTCAAAGTGTGTGTCTACATTTTGGGGGACACCCTATATATCAGATGGAAACCTGTAATAGTAATTACATTAAAGTACTTTTGTTTTGCTGCAGCTGGAAAAAACATTATACATCCGCTGTGGCACAGTGGGTTCCAGAATGTTCCTCGTGTATGTGTCTTACCTGATCACTACAACTATTGAAGACAGAGAAATCGTCTGCAAGTGTCACAAGGTATTTATTGTTTTCCATGGCTCCTGCAGGAGGCGTCATATTGTTTCGTTTACTTGTCGAAAAGCAGGTGCTCATAGTCTGTTTCAGGTTTTTATTAACATCGGTTGATTTTTTTTTCTCACTTACGTTGATCATAAACAGTACAATAAGGCATTCGTTGCTCAGACATTAGAAAATTGGCAGGCATGGCTTTTCACGTAGAGAATCAAAAGGTTTGAGCCCTCATGCACACAAATCTTGAGAGCTTACACCTGTCTGCTATTTACAAAGTCACACATTAGATAAAAGCGGTGAGTTGGCTCATGTGTAGGAGGTTTTGGAGAAAGGGAGGTTTCCCTTATGAGATATTTTTCTGTTAAAATAGGTTCTTAGGAAAGTCGGTGTGGTAAGTGCGCACCGAGGAGAGTGACAGCAGGGAAGCTGTCAAGAGTTCACGGCTCAGGCAGCTGCTGTCGACTCTGATGGAATTCTTAGTGGTCTGCTTTCTGTTTATAGAGCTGGGGGCGGGGGGGCGTGTTTCTATATAGATTTAACCTTATCTTATGTAATGCTTACATCTATTAGTGGAAAACTATAGTATTTAGTATCTTACTCCTGGCAGCCCTGTTGTCTCAGCGTTTTCTAGAAATTGGGTTCTCGGCCCAGCAGGGCAGTTGGCCTAGTTACCTGGGGATTTGTCGTTCGGTCACTGCAGAGTCTGGGCAGTGGGCTCTTTATAAGTTACTGGGAAGCAAAACCATCCCAAGGAAATTAGGAGTATTTCCCAAGTGGGAGGAAGAAGGCATGGAATGTACTGTTAAAAGTTTCATCCAGCCCTGGCTGGTTTGCTCAGTGGATAGAACGTCAGCCTGCAGACTGAAGGGTCCCGATTTCTTTCTTTAAAAAAATAAAATCTTTTTAAAAAATTGGTTTCAGAGAGGAAGGGAGAGGGAGAGAGAGATAGAACCATCAGTGATGAGAGAGAATCATTGATTGGCTGCCTCCTGCACAACCCCCACTGGGGACTGAGCCTGCAACCTGGGCATGTGCCCTGACTGGGAATCAAACCGTGACCTGGTTCATAGGTTGATGCTTAACCACTGAGCCACACCGACTGAGCTAGGGGGTCCCGGCTTCAATTCCGGTTAAAGGCACGTACCTTGGTTGCAGGCTCGATCCCTGTCCCTGGCCAGGGCTCATGTGGGAGGCAACCAATCGATGTGTCTCTCTCACATCGATGTTTCTCTCTCTGTCTCTCCCCCTCCCTTCCACTCTCTCTAAAAATCAATGGAAAAATGTCCTTGGGTGAGGATTTACAAAAGGAAAAAAAAATTTCACCCAGTTCAGCGATTTTCAACCTTTTCCACCGCGTGGCACACAGAACCTAATTGCTAAGATTCTGTGACACCAAAAGCGTATTTTTGCCAATCTGACAAAAGCATAGTTTTGATTCATTCACACCAGACGGCTATTGTTGTTTGGCTGTTGTCATTTTTCAATTCTTCAATCCGAGGGAAAAGCGGTCAGTGTCCCTGACTAAACAGTCAGGTGCTGCATCTTTTAAACACGCTTGCGGCGCACTGTTGACAGTTCCTGGCCTCGCTGCATGCTGTCAGATGCGCCCTGGCTGGCGAGTTAGGCGGTGAGGGTGCTGCCTCATCACTGCCTCCTACCCTGGGAGCTCAGTGAGCCGTGCAACTTCTTCCGGCCTCAGTTTCCTTGCCTGCAAAATCAGAACGTTACAGTTCAGTGCAGCGCTTGTGAGCAGGTGGAGCATGTGGTTAAAGGCAGGCTCCAGGGTCCGATTGGGTTCCGTTTCTGCCTTGGTCACTTACCAGCCATGTGACCGTTCCATCTTCACGTGGCGGTAATAACGGCATGTGTTTCCGTGAGTTCTGAGCATTGCATTATGCACATGTGGTGGTTAAAACACGGTGTCACAGTACGTTATCATCCCTGTTGCTATTTTACTCACCTTGAGTTGAGGCGACAGAAGAAGACCCAGATGTTATGCTCGGCACCGCTGGCGTTGTGGCCTGAGGCCCGCCAGTGTCCTCCTCACCTCTGGCTCCTGCTGTGGGACGGTGACAGTGCCTGCCCTGCCTACTCTCACTGGGTCCTGAGATAAATAATGCGCAAGCAAGCGCTCGCAGTGTGATGATAATATGCAAGATAATTTATTAGAAAAAGAGTCCGGTCTCTCTACATGGATTTTTACAGATATCTAAGGGGGAAATCCTATATAAGTTGGGACTGTTTATTTAGACTGTTTGGTATGCCTTCTGTTTTGAAAACTCTACGGACGCTTACAATTTAGAAAACCATTGCATGTGCCTTTTACATTTTCCTGCAGGATGAAACCGTAACGATAGAAACCGTCTTTCCATTCGACGTAGCAGTTAAATTTGTTTCTACAAAGGTACGTCCTTATGAAGCGGATTGGAAATCACTTAGGTTCTAGGAATCAACAGGAAAAATAAAGCGGGCTTGTCTGTCTTCATTCGTGACAGTTCGAGCACCTGGAGAGGGTCTACGCCGACATCCCCTTCCTGCTGATGACCGACCTGCTGAGCGCCTCCCCCTGGGCCCTCACCATCGTCTCCAGCGAGCTCCAGCTGGCGCCCACCATGGCGTCTGTGGACCAGCTGGAGTCCCAGGTGGACAAAGGTGAGACTGTGGCTCATGCACTTAATTAGCAGAGAGTTAGGTGTGTGCCTGTGTGCATGCACATGTGTGTGTGCATATGTGTACTTAGCAATGTAAGAGTTAGCTTTTGGTAAGGAAAGGAACTTGAGACTTATGCTCACAAATACATTTAGAATTAAGGTATCATTTACAATTTTAGTATACATTTTTTTAAAAAGTCAGATTTTTGCTACTCTAAGGAAGTTACTTTTTTAAAAAGGTACTTGAAAATATTACAGCAGGTCCGCGAATGACATGGTTTCATTCAGTGTTGTTTTGTCATAACATTGATGAGGTGCCAAAGGGACTTAACTCTTGTTTCTGTCTGTAGCCTGTGTTTTGGTTCTATGGCGTCTCACTTAGAGCGGCCGTTCCCCTTCTGCACACCTCCTGCACCCTGCTTCTCAGCCCCGATCTCGCTGCATCCTCACAGTTCATCAGCGTTTGTTCCATCAATGAACAGTATCTATTTTTTAAGGTCAAAAGTCCCAAAACCAAGGACTGCGTGTCTGTAGGCTCCAGGGAGATCCTTCCCTTTGCCTTTTTCTGTTTCTGGGGCCATGTGGATTCTTTGCCTTGTGGCTCCTCCTACATCTTCAAAGCCAGCTGTGTCTCGTCTTCAGAAACCTTTCTGTGACCTCTGCTCCCATTGTCACATCTCCTTCTCAGACTCCCCGGTGCCTCCCTCTCTTCCAGCCCTTGTGGTTACATTGGGCCCTCCTGGGTGACCCAGGATAACCTCCCAGTTTCAAGACCCTTAATCCCATCGGTGAGGTCCTTTTCGCCATGGGGTTGACATTCAAAGGTTCTGGGAATTAAGTGTGATATCTTTGGGGGGTGGTGACATTATTCAGTCTGCCGCCTCCGAGAACACCAGCACTGGTGCACTGTAAAGTTTGCATTTGACACATTAAAAATCACAGCTATCCTAGGCCATAAATTTGACCTTAATGTTAATTGTTCAGGAAGTCTGTGATCATTTTGGTTTTAACTTCTTAGAATTAGGGAGGATTTTAAGGGAATTAATTTGAACACCTCAGGTTTTTCAAAAAGCTATTCTAACAGGGTTGAATTGATGTGAGTTGTACTAACTGGTCCTAGTCCTTAAAAATTAATTAAAAGTAGTTAATTCAAGTGAAGATTGATGCAGCTTTTTTCCTTTTCGTTTCTGGTACCTACCACAATCACAACCATCAATTCATCACAGCCTTCTTCATGGGAAACCCATAAAAACAGTTACTAATGTTCAGGGACTTGGCTGTCATTCTTGGGTGTTGCTCCTAGATTTGCTGAGGTTGGCATTAGATGGCACTGCTGCCAGCTGGCGTTTACAGGAGCGACACTGCAGGCCAGGACGTGCGGAGGGTGGGCAGGACTTGGTTTAGACGAGCCTTTATCTAGTTATCAGGGGATTTGCTGTAAGTTGGTGAGAGGAGCGCATCCTTGCACGAGAGGTAAGTAGCCACGTTGGGCAATAGTGAGTCACTGTCTGACGTATCCGTTTCGGTGATCTCAGCAGTATGTGCTTATTCAGACAGTCGGAGTCTCCTGGAATGCCATTCGGACCACTTTAAGGAATACCTAAAATTACCCGTTTTTGTATTTTTGTGTTTTTTTGTCCCTATTGGGAAGCGTTTCCTTTGGAGACATGAAGTAATTTAGAGAAATAAAAATAATCACCAGAGGGTGTTATTCTGACTCCAGGCTCCTCCCCTGCACTAGTCCCCAGGGGAGTGTCACAGACAGGCAGCTGCTCGCCTGCTTTTATTGCTGGAGTAGGAGAGACACGGCCCAGGGACGTGCGGACGCCTGTGAGCCGCAGTGTCCGGGTCTCTAAGTAACACGTACCCAGGATCTTCTCGCTGTTTCCCGGCGGGACCCCTGCTCACTCGGGAGTCCCGCTCAGGGACTGAAAGGCTCGCGCTTGTAGTTGTCTTGCAGACCGGAGAGAGCGCGAGCGAGTGCTTCTGTCTGCGGTGCCCGGCGGCGGGGAGCGTGGAAGGCGGAGTGGCCACGGGGCACTACGTTATCTGCTGGAAGAGGTAAGCGATGTCAGCGCTGTTGCTCTTCACCGTCTGCTGTTCTGACGGCTTAGTGGTTCCTCGTTGGATTTCTGCACGTCAGGAGTGAACCTTAGCCAGCTGGTGACTGTCCACGGTCCCTGTTTTGATTGATTGACTGTGCACGTGACATGTGACTGAGGTGCCCTTCTCCGCAGGACCTCGGCCGCGGACAGCCTCCCTGCCATCAGCACCGCCATCACCCTGCCGCACGTGATCGTGGAAAACATCCCCCTGCACGTGAGCGCAGGTAACGCATGCAGGCCCACGGGCAGAGGACCCCAAGGAGAAGGGTGTTTCGGCTGCTAAGACTTTTAAAATCTTTTGACTATGAAAATACCTGACATTTACTAAAGTGGGCTGTGAGCAGTCTCGTTTCATGTGCCTCTACACACTCCTCCTACCCCATCATTTTGAAGCAAATCCAGATATCATTTCATCTCTAGATATTTCAGAGTGTATCTGTAATATTAGTGGTTATTTTTCTAAACCTCATCAGAATACCATTGTCATGACTTCAAAAATTGGCAAAATTGTCTTAATATTATTGAATTCTAGTGTTGAAATTTCCCTGGTCGACTGAATGTTCCTTATGTGCCTGCGGTCTCTGCCATGCATAGTTTTGCAACTGGGAGGCAGGCTGACTCCCTCTCCCCCTCCAGGGCCATCGCCTTCCACACGTCACCGCCCCTCGGCCTTGCTGTTTGTTTACCGAGGGGCCCAGTCATTTGTCCTGCGGAGCTTGCTGCAGGCTGGACTTTGCTGATTGCACTGCATTATTGCTCAGTGTTTCTGTGCCCTATAAACTGGTAGTTGGATCTGTAGGTGTGGTCAGATTCAGGTTCAGGTTTGGGGCAGGAATTCGAATGTTTACTCTGCCATCCCTTTTCGAACCACGGTTGATACTTGGGGAAACCTTTGGTAGATTTTTAAATTATTCCTAAAATATAATTCACCTCCGACAGCCAACACCCTTTCTAAGTCAGTCACTTTCAAAGGAGATGTTGAATCGTCTTCCCCTGTGTTTTCATAGTCCTGTGGCCTTTTTCAATCAGGAAGTTTTACTTAGCAAGAGCGCAGGGATACTGATAGTTTAAATAAGCCCATGTCTTGTAGAAGGAGAGTCATTTGCAAGAAGACCCCACAGAGGTTGAGCTGTTTTCTAACCAAGAGGATCGTGTCCTCCCTGCAGACCTGCCGTCGTTTGGCCGAGTCAGGGAATCGCTGCCCGTCCGGTATCACCTGCAGAACAAGACCAACCTGGTTCAGGACCTGGAGGTCTCCGTGGAGCCCAGCGACGCCTTTATGTTCTCGGGCCTTAAGCAGGTACAGTTCGCATCTCACTGGATGCTCCTGTAGACACCAGGTGTGGCAGGGCGTGGAGAGCTGTGCACGTGGGCTGATAAGACTGACCGTGGACCTGGGATTCTGATAGGAGTGCATCTTCAGTCTCTTCTGTGGATTGAAGACATTGTTACAGAGGCGGGATCAATGGGCAGACCTCACATTGCGATCACATGTATAGGTCCTTTCTCCTTGAAAACAAGAGTTCACAAATCCTTGGGCTGTATAAGGGGATTCCTGAAAATCTTAGATTTCCCTTTAATGACTAATGAGTGTGTGTGTGTGTGTGTGTCTGTCTGCTTTTGAGGCCTGGAGGCATGACTACCTGTATTAAAATGCCTAATTCTCTTCAGCACTGCTAGTGCAGTGTTTTGTCGTCAGTAAGTACTTTTTATTAATAGAACATAATTAGAGGAACAAATGTGTCATAACACCTGGAAGTACATACCCTGACTAATCATCTGTGCCCTGCGTATGCGAAATAGAACTATATATGATGATATATACACTAATTTAAACTTTTACACAGTAAGTATAATCTTAGCTCTGGTATATTGGTGCACATGTACATATATTATCTGTGGCATGGACCTGCATGCACTCATTTGCAAATGAGTAACCTTTTCTTGCGTGTCTTCATCTTTTTCACATATTAACTTAAAAATAATTGGATCATGTAAAATACCAAAATCTTACCAGTTTGTGTTCTTTTCTAAAGTATTGTTAAAAATTTGTAAACATCTTTTTCCCCCTGAAGTTACTCACCTTAACAAAATTCCTAAAAAAACCCCATAAGAAACAACTAGTGTGTCTTATGTTGACATCATGTTTACAAAGATACTTTTCTGTAAATTATCCTTACTATTTTGTGACTGCACTCTGCCTGGCCTACGACACAGAATATATCACTCCGTCGAGTGCTCATTTTTAAGCTGGTATAGTTGCCTTTTAGGTCTTGGTAGACAGAAATCATGTGCATAGTTTTTAATATGTTTTTATTGATTTCAGACAGACACAGGGAGAGGGAGAGCGAGATAGAAACACCAGTGAGAGATGTGAGAGAATCACTGATCGGCTGCCTCCTGCTCGCGCCCTCCTGGGGATTGAGCCCACAACCCCGGCATGTGCCCTGACCCGGAACCCAGCTGGGGACCTCTTGGTGCGTTGGTCGATGCTCCACTCCTGAGCCACAGCTGCCAGGCTCATGCATATGTCTTACACACGTATCATCCGTGTGGTACTAATTCAGCCTTACCTTTTGGAATCTGTGGAAGATGGAATGGGGGAGAGAAAATATTCACCAGAGAGATTTGGGTGTCCAAACATTTGTAAATATTCTAGGGGTGACGACAAAGATACTGCAGATCTGTGTATCTGATTGTCTATGACTTTTGTGATTTAGATTCGGTTACGGATCTTACCTGGCACCGAACAGGAAATGTTATACAACTTCTATCCTCTCATGGCCGGATGCCAACAGCTGCCGTCTCTCAACATCAACCTGCTTAGATTTCCCAGCTTCACAAACCAGCTGCTCAGGCGCTTCATACCGACCAGTATTTTTGTGAAGGTAAGGCTTGGACGTCTGCCTTTAAATATACTGTCTTGAAAACAAACAGAAGATTTGTTTTCCATGTGAACATCGCTAAACAATAATTTGAGACTCACAGTGACAGTTGTGATTTTTACCCTCTGAATTTGGCAGTATTGCTATCCATTTCTATAAAGTTACTATATTTATAGAATCTAATTAAAAAAATGTTTACTCTCTTAAGTAAATGATTTATCTTTATAGAATCCTTAAATGTGTTTTTTCTTTGGCTTTCATAAAGTATGTTTTTAAATTATAGTTAATTGTAACTAATTTTTAATCCAAATGGATTAACTTTCTAAATATGATCACTGAATTCTCCTAATTCTCTCGGTTTAATGGTGTAATACCGAATTGGGGTCTTTTTTTTATTCAATTTGTTGGGTGACATTGGTTAATAAAGTTATATAGGTTGAGTCTTTTCTGAAAATGGCCATCTATTGGGCACTGTACTGTGGTTTACTGTTCTGACTTACTCCAGGTTCCTGCAGTAGAAGACGGTGGGTGGTCATAGTGTGTGACAGGGAGGTGGCCACACAGATGGATCGTGTAGCTCGCGCTTCGCCTCCCGGTCAGCCACTTGCAGTGCCTGAGCCGAGGCTGCCCCCCGATAGTCTGTGCTCCCCACTAGGCAGATGTTCTCAGCATGTGTGAGCCTCTCTTCTTTTCCATTGGTGCCCGTTTGGCAATGGCAGGTTCCGTTGCACAGTTTCCCTTTTCCTGTCTGTCAAGTTTGGGGGAACTGGGCCTTGTTCCTGTTACCTGGGACTTGGTAAATTACAAGTTAGTTTCTGCTCATGTGTCCTTCATAATTTCTCTAGCTTTTATTTTTCTAGGTTTACACACTTTTTTGCATCTGCAGAAAAATAGCTTTATTAACCCTTCCAAGCTTTTATCCTATTCCATACTTTAAATTGTTTAAAATGAAACGAAACAGAAAAGCCATATTCATGATTTTAGATCTCTAGTGTCTAAATAGTTTTGGATTCACAGCGAAATTGAGAGGAAGGTAGAGATTTCCCATATACCCTCTGCCCCACCAACAGTGGCGATAGATTGGCAGTGGCACTAGAACACCAGGTGGCTGAGGTGGGGTCGGCAGGTGGAGGTGCCTGATCAGCTGGGGGTGTCTGCAGGGGTCAGAAGGAACCGGACCTAGCACACAGTTGCCGGCCCCAATTCAAGTGAAGAAAGAAGCCAAGATGAAAGGCAAATACATTTATTTTGGTATTTGCACATGTTTATACTGTTTTTGTGAACAGTTCCAAGAATTTAAAAATCTTTTCAATTAAGAGAGCTTATGGGTCACTACTACTCTGTAAACCATCTTGTTTTCTCACTTCGAAGCCACAGGGCCGACTCGGGGACGACGCCTCCATCGCCGCTGCGTGACGTTCCTGCCGGGCCTGGCCGTGCTCGCAGACGCTGGACAGAGCTCCCTGAGGCTTTCATTCCGAGCTGTAGCATTGATCGTGGTGAACGTTAATCTTTATTTTTTAATGGATGTTATACCAACTATTCAGAGGAACTCGTGCGTAAGAGATGAGCAAAGCCTGTCCTCTGCGTAGTTTCACTAATAAATCTTTGAAATCTGTCAGTGCGACGTGACAGCTGTCAGACCGTTATTGGTGAAAGTCACTTGTGAACACTAAATTCTTTTCAACGCAGTGAAGTGCATGTGCAGCTTCCGGAAAACCCAGCCCTAACGGAGTGCACGGGAGGGGCACACACCGGGTCCGAGGGAAGCTCTCCATCCCCCGCAGCCCACGGGCTCACCCCGAGGGGATCATCCTCACAGCTCAGTGTGTGCTCACGGCGCGGACACAGCTGAGCAGCCACCGTGACCGATCAGAACGCTTGCCGACAGCTT